AGGTAGTGAGGGAACACTACGCGGTGGTTTGTTGCCACCGCTTCTCTAATCACTGCCCTCAGCAGTACACGAGGCTGAGTGAGCCTTGCTGAGTGGTGTACAGCGCCCAAAACGTCAAGCTTCGAGAAACGTGGCTTCGATGCCTTAAGCATCGATATTAAGGAACAGTCACCGCGTCTGGAACCCGCAAAGAAGCAGTAGTTTGTGCAAGAACCCGTCAAAGAGCAAGATTCCGCACACATTTCGTGCAGGGGCAAGTCATTTCCCACGAGGCGGGAGCAAGGGGTTTCTGGAAGGTGAGGGTTCCGAATAGGGTGACACCGCATGTAAGGGTATCTGAGGAGTTGTGAGGATATCTCTTTGTACCTCGCTCCAGTCTTGGATCCATAACGGATAGAGTTCAGTAATGTTGGAGTGACAGCCTTATTTGTTAGAGTGCAAGGTCTTGAGTACTTGCCTCTTGGCTTGATATGATGTAAGATGAGTTTGTATCTCCAGCATAAACGAATGTGATCAACTTGCACCCCTGTTGTGGCCCCTCCTGAAGTGTCTGGCAACCCACGACAGCATCTTTGATTGATGCTTCACTCTTTTCGTGACCGAAAGCAGAAACTTGGAGAGAGAGACAGAGAGCCGGGAAACGTGTGGCGATGGGAGAGGCTGTGAATGGCTAATACCTGGTGGTGGCGAAGCAAACTGTTCAGATGACGAGAGCGGCTTGCGCGAGTGTGGCTGCCAACGTCTGTGAGAGGGTGTGATGCAGCGTATAGATGAAAAGATGCCCCGAACCGCTGCAGATCTGGGGTCACGGGAATCAGTTGGAGAACCCATCTTCTGATCCCACAAAACCCAGCTCGAATACGAATGACGTTGCTGGAGCTCTGTTATCAACTGGACTTCAGGGAAGCCCGAAATCCGTGCGACTTGCCTGCGGACTGTTGCGTTTCCCATATCCTCACTCCTCCTCCACAGGCTCTGCGGTCTCCATCAGCTAGGGACCAAAGCTGGCCTCGGCGTCGTTTGTCCCCTTCAGCCGAAACGAGGGTCTCGTCTGTCCCTGATCCTCGGGCTCCCTCCGTGGGCCGCTATGGATATCATGTCGCGATTTCAGCCCACGCGGGCACGCACCCGCTGAAGCTGCACGAGCAGCAAGGTCGGGCAAAGGGTCGGTCGCAAAGCAAGCTGTGAGTCCATGAATGATGTAAGTGGACGGGCGATCCTTGAAGAGGGGAGAGGGGGTGCTAAGTGGGGGAAGCAGCCAAGAAGCTAACTGCGCAGACGGCTAAGGTCGAAAGCGGACTAGCCCATTGGATCACGGAAGACTGGTGGAAGCCTGCATAGAAGCTCTCGCGGGACGCCAGGTGTGCCAAGGCGCCGCCACAGTGACCTCCAGGCAACCGCATTGCAGCACTCCAACACGCTAGGCTCGCTAGGCCTTGGCATGGTCAACCACTGAGGACGCTGCGACTGCTGCACCCCGTTGGAGCCGTTTGTGCCCGTGATTATTGCCGCTCTTCGATTTGACATGATCATGGCGTGAGCTGTTGCTGGCTGTGATTATGGCCAGATCAACCGAGCAGTTGGAACAGTCTGGACGGCTTCTATCCCGCGACCCGGGCGGTCATGTTTGTCCGGCAATCAAGAGCGGGTTCCGTGGCGGGACTGACGGCATCGTAAATCAGCCCTGTCTGTTGGGGTCTCCTCGCGGGAGCAACGTTTGCCATGCGATGTGGCCGGGTGCGTTGTGTTTGTGTCAAGTCTTGTTGCGGGGTGATAGGGCCTCGACAGTGGGAGGGAGGTTGGTTCCACCACCTAGAACCCAACTGCCAGGATTGATGCAAACAAGCAAGACCAGGTTTGCGGCGGCCGGCAGAGGAGGCGGGTCGGGTCTTGAATTGCCCGTCGCAATCCGGGTTGGTACGCTGGCACTGCACTGCTCGTTTGGATTTGTTTTCTTGAGCAAGAGGCGTCTTGTTGTTTCGTGGCGGCGCCATTATTCCGCAGACTTTAACAGAGCTTCTGTCGCTCTCCTGCAACTCCCTGCCGTTGGCCGATGCGCACAATGCCGATGCGCAGCCTGAGACTGAGATCCATGGTTGCGTGCTGTCCTCGAGATTGGCGTATCGATTCGATTCCCGCCAGCAATGCTAGCAATGCCAGCATGTTATGCCCTCTTTGGTCGACAGGGAGCATTCGCGCATCGCGACTCTTGGCAACCCCGGCTGCTTGGTCCTTTTGCTCTCCAGAGGCGGGGAGTTTTGCATCGGTCGCAGCGTGACGAGTTGAGGTGCTGATGATGGATGGGGGGGAGGCCAAGTTGGCTGGTTGAGTGGATGAGGTCGTCCGGAGTGGAGATGGAGATGGCAGAAGGACGAGTGAGGGCTGGCATCTGGTTGGCTGGCTGCAGTGCAAAAGGACCTGGCCACAACCACGGAGCCCCGGGAGTGGATCGCTTTAGCGCCTCTGGGCAAATGCAGCGGATGATTTAAGGTGCACCCGGCGGCTTTGGCACCCATGTCCTTGGATGCTCGGTGGGTGCTTTTGAAGCCAAGTGCAGATGTTCCCCTTCTTGCTTGCTGGCTAGGTCGAGATAGCTAGCACGCAAGATCTTTTGTTTCTGTTACGGATACGGTAACGAGCTTATCTTGTCGTTGCCAGGAACACCCACAACCTGCAGATGCATGATGATGCGGGAGAGACGGGAACAGCGGGAGAAGGTAGGTACTGTTGATAGTCGTTGAGCAAAGACAGACGCTTCATGCGGGCACTATCATAGCCTGGTCGGCGTTTCCGAGACCGAACACGTCCCAGGACATACCGTCGCCCAGTCAGATCAGACGTGTAGTACGGTGAAGGGAAAAGCAGGGAGGAAAAAAAAAAAACGCCTCTTTTCTAGACATTTCCAATGACCTTCCATGGCGGCGACTACGTGCGTTGTCGGTGTGCAGGTTCCTACCTTAGCCCCCGAGTAGTCGCGCTGCCTCGAGTGGTGGTGCCATGGATGTATGATGATGTATCAAGGACGAAAGCTTAGATCAGGCCAAGCGTGCACGACATTGGATCGAGGCTGTGGCCTTGGTTCGATTTCGACCGACACGCGCGAACACATCCCACGACGAAGGAACGGACTATGTGACGTGAAGCAGAACAAGCCACGAAAAAAATCTTGACCGTTTACTCCCTGCGTGTCGCAATCTTGGCTTCCATCCTGCTTGGACCTCCTGCATCTGATCCAATCTCATATACTCCCGCCTTCTTGGGCTTTTTGAGGCTCCATTCCCTTTGCGCAACCGTCCCCGACTTGGCACCCGCTTCGCTCTTACCCTTCCTGGGCCTAGGCCCCCGACGCGAACCTACCTAACGTTGGGCAAGTGATTACGGAGAAAAGGTCGATTGGCAATTCAGGGCCATGGCAAGGGATGGATCCGGGAGACTGCTCCGACAAGCCTTCGGAAGATAGAGATGGGTGCCAGGCATGGGAGAGTGGAAGAGGAATGGAACGAACCAGGCCAGGCAGGGCAGGCCAGGGGATGGACGTGGATGGAGGATGAACCGCGACGACGTGACCAGGCCCCAGGCCCCCGTACCTAGTGGGAACGCTCCAGGGCATCTGCACCGCTGTCTGCACGGCGCTAGGCTGTACCGCACAGCGCTGTATCGGCGGCCACTAACCCCCCAACAGTGCTCGAGCCGGGGCGTCCCCTGACCCTCCCCCCCGAGCACCCCCGAAGCCCTGCTTGCCCGCTGCCCGTCTGCATCGAGTCCACCTGAGTTGCTTACCCCAAGGCCAAGGTAGATGGGACCGTTTTCCGGGGCTGGAGGTACTTGGGCTCTCTTATATTCTTGGCCTGACGGGTGGGTATCGTACGGCGTGACATCTATCCGGAGTGACATGGATGGTCGCACTTCCCGCATGGAGTCCACCTGGCACTGCACTTCACACCCAGGCAGGTGCAGTGGAGGCGGCCACTCCTCGATCCCGCCCCTCCCCTCCATCTCCATTCGCGAGGTTCTTGTCTCCCCATCTTTTTCTCCAAACCCATCCATCCACATCCGCATCCACATCCATCCTCACCATGGACATGGTCCACGCTTCGCGCCGTCTCGATATCACCGCCAGCACCAGCAGCAGAGCCTGGCCTGGCCTGCCCGTGCTCTGTCCTACCTGTGTCTGTCCGCCCTGGCTGTAGGTCGCTCCCGCCCGTCGGTTCTTGTCGTGATTGCTATCGCCCCTCTGTTCCATTTCCATTACCTTTACAGGGGCCTCTTACCTCGTCGATACTCACTCGCTGACCTCGGCCGATATGGCTCCCCCCGCTGATCTTCTCAGTTCATCCCATCCTCGCAACGCGACAGGCTGGGGATGATGATGCCAACCGCGCCCCCATCCCCATCCCTCCCATCCATACCTTAAGCATCCCTCCACTCCCATCCTTCCATTCACTTAAAGACCTCCCGCTCCTCAGGCTTGATCTTGGGCTGCTACGTACCTGTCCTCCTCCCCTCTGTCGTTTACACCCCTCCCCAAATCCAGCCGCACTCCCACTCCCCATCCCCATCGTAATCCTTGCCCTGGCTTCAGGGTCTGATTGCTACTCTCAAGTACTGGGTGATACCCTCCCCGACCTATGCAGTAGCACCCCTCGCCTCTTCATCTTGGTCTTCATCTTGTCTTATACTGTCCCCAGCGCCACTTTCATGTCAATGCGCTGCTGAGAGGTGTGCCTTGCTTGCCATCTTGAACACTTTAACATCGTGTGTCTCCATCTGTGAGAACCTCCACCTTCTTTCTTGTCTTGGATCCAACTCTTGTCTTTGGCTTCAAGTTGTTTCCAACTCGTACTCGACTCTTTGAACTTATATGCCAAGCATATCCAACTCACTCAACCGCGCCTTGACCTCGACAACTCACTCATCACCCGTTCGTCACTTATACGCTCCATATCTTGCGATCATCGATCATGACGGCCGCTCTTGCACAACCGACCGTTACGGTCAAAGACCCTTCCGCAGTTCGCAAGCGCAGAAGACGCGCCCCGGCAGGTGGTGCTTCTGATGACTGCTTTTCTTGCTCCAAGAAGAACATCAAGTGTGACCGCAGGCGGCCATATTGCTCTCAATGTCTCGAGGTTGGTAGCGAATGCTCTGGCTACAAGACACAGCTCACTTGGGGAGTTGGTGTGGCTAGCCGGGGTAAACTCCGTGGTCTGTCCTTGCCCATTGCGAAAGCCCCTCCCGTCACTCGGGAGCCCAAGAAGCACTCGGGATCTCGTTCACGGTCCAGCTCTTCTGCTGTTCCCCAAAGCATCGAGTCTGAATCACCTGGAAGAATGCACCAGGGACCCATTGACATCCCCATGGTGACCCAGGTTGCGTCTGCACCCACGACTCCTTTCACAATGACAGGATATGACTACCTTTCCATGTCTCAACCTGACCATCCGCCTTCACTCCCTCAGGGAAGCTGGGGTAGCATCAATTACTCCCCTGGCCAAGAAACGACACCCAAATTCAACCGATTTCCCCTTCCTCTTGTCACTGAGGACCTTGCGTCTTCCATTGACTCCCTGAATGAGGTGGACTATCTCTCCCCCATGAGCCAATCTTTCACCAGAGACGACGTATCCTACGTTCACAGCCCCTCCTACATGTACGACAGCTATACGACTGGCAACAGCTCTCCCGGCCCCCAGAGCCCTCCCGCGTCTCTCTATGTCGACCATGGCAGAACTATTGCCCCGACATCTTGCCCAAGCCTAGCACATGCCCCTTCGGAGCTCAGCTCGAGTCTCCATTCTCACATGGACAACTTCGACTCGCAGCTGAGCAGCCGCATTGTCCGGGATTGTGACTCTTTTGGTACGATGAACTCAGCACACCGATGTCTTGTCTGTGCTAACACTTTCTAGGCGTACCTGAAGCCGAAGCATATAGCGCAAGCTACAACTCGATGCCCATCGCGTGGCAATCACCATCGATTCAAGAGGAGGATGTCAAGTCTCATCACTCGGACTTTGCCCCCTCGCATTGGCCCACGGCTTCCGAAACCCAATCTGTTCATGTGAGCCAGGACCTCATCTCCAAGATGCCCTTTTTTATGGATTACTACGAGAATATCATGTGCCCCTCGATGGTCTTCATTGATGGGCCACACAACCCCTTTCGAGACCATATCTTGCGACTAGCTGCAAACAGCCAGAGTCTGAGCCATGCCATTTGTGCTCTTGCATCCTGCAATCTACGCATGAAGAGGAAACTGAGTCTCGGACGTGATACTCGAGAGCTTTCTGAGAAGTTGATGGCTGACAAACACGCCGCCGAAGCCATGGCAGACACTCAGTCCGACGACCTCTCCCTCGCCGAGGAATACCAACACCGCAACTTGGCTGTGCACCTACTGAACGAGCAACTCAATGACCGGAACAAGTCGACCCACGATTCTGTCCTCGCCACGATTCTTCTCCTATGTCATTACCGCATGGTCGAGTCGGGCATCGCCAAGTTCCATACCCAGTTCGCGGGCGTCAACAAGATCCTTGCTCTCAGGTCTCAGCAGTTTACCGCTTCGGGAGATTCTGCCTGGATGGAGGCCCTTTTCACCTATTTTGATGCCATCTCAGCAAGTATCAACGAGCGTGAAGCTCAGGTACACCCCGGATTTGGAAGCATTTCGGATGTTCAACTTCCTGTTGGGGCTGAGAACCTGGTTGGCTGCGATTGCGAGCTCTTCAAGACAATCAGCAGACTTGGCCGCCTGAATTTGCTCTCACAGAACCGTCCAGTCAAGTCTGGATCCCATGGCGTTTCCGGACGGTCACCTTCGCCATCATACATCTCCCCACTCGGCCATGCTCACAAAGCAACCTTTAGCATGGGCATGGGGGTGCCGGGCCAGCAAACAGGGGATATGAATCTTGCTGATCATGGATACGAGGGCAACACATTCGGCACAACGCTTAACGGCGAGGGGCTTCTCTCATCCACTAGCTCGACCACAACCTACGACGATAACCGGTCACTTTTCTGGCACGAGTGGAAGGAGGCCCGCTTAGCCCTACAGAGCTGGCAATTTGATACTTCCAGAGTTGCTGCCTCGCTACCTGGATCACTTACACAGGGGCAGTTACGCGACCTTGAATCACTGTCCGAAGCATTCCGCTATGCTGCGCTGCTATACACAGAACGACTTGTGAGCCCCTCGTTGCCGTCTGGTCACCAAAGCATCCAGAGCCTAGTCAGCCAAGTGATCTACTATGCATCAAATCTGGAGACGGGCAGTAGTGCCGAGAAGTTTTTGCTTTGGCCGCTCTTTGTGGCTGGGTGCGAGTGCGTCAACGAGCTGCAGCAGGACATGGTGCGGTCAAAATGCCGGGACATCATGTTCCGCTCGGGCTACATGAACAACCTAGCGGCTCTCGAGGTGCTGGAGAGGCTATGGGCGGGAGAGTGGACGGGAGAGGAGCCGTTGAGCCCGGGGGCCAGGGCCGGGGGTAAACGCGGACCGTTCAACTGGACAAAGTGCATCGGCGGCCCCGGGGTGGAGGTGGAGTGGATCATGTTTTGATTGCAAGGATTGGTACTCGGCGATTTTTGACATGTGACGGGTCTGTTCTGTGTCTGAGAAGAGAGATGATGGTTTACAGGGGGTTGTATTTCAAGGGGTGTTGTCATTACAGCTGTGGGTAGGGGGACATGTATGGGAAAGGCGTTATGCGAGTCGACAGGTGTAAGATGGAGGTTTGGAATCAACGACTGGTCGATCTGAGCATATGATGGGATGGATGGATGGATGGATGGATATTGGAATGGCAGGCATTATACTTGTATCATGTAACGACATGGCATCTACGGATTGGTAGACTGGAGCGCAGGCGTTTCGGCTGAGCATTTTGATGTATACATGGGTGGTTGGATTTACAGCATCTTGACTCTCGATGAGAGGCTCACCTCACTATGAATGAAAACGAACCAACTTGATAAAAGTGCATTTTGGAGCTGATAACAGTTTACGGAAGATGATGGGCCTCCGTCTCACAGCACAGGGCCCCCCACGCCAAGTGCCAGCACATGATTTCCTTGAAAAGCAGCATGTATGGAAGCGGTAGGTAGTTTGTAGAATGATGCTGTCAAGTTCGAGGGGACGTCAGTGAATCTCGCCTCATGCCACGCATGCCTTTGTAGGCATAGCCCAGGATGGGATGGGGTTTCTAACTATGCCGCTATGCAGGGCTGGCACCTTCCCCTGGCTGGCACTTGCTCTCGTGGTCTTGGCTTTTTTTTTTCTCTCTCTCGGCGGCGCCGCCGTCATTGCGGGATCACTCCGCCTGTAAGGTGCTGTCTGGCGGAGCCGGCCGATGGAGAATGATAAGGGCCTGGGGCGCGGCAAGAGTTGTGATTGGCGAGATTGACCTGGCTTGAAAAAAGGTTGTGGGATTGGTGTATCTTGTCAAACTGCGGGAATAAGAAGGATCGACAGGTAGGATGTTGGAGGTTCAGGTTTACAAGAGAACCAACGATGAGAAAAAATGTTACAGGTATCGTTGCATGACCATGATGAACAAGGCGAGACAAGCAAAGAAGCAAGGTTGCAGAAGAAACCCACACACCCCCATGTTTTCAGCTCTCCCTTCTAGGCTGCCTACCTAGTGGTCCAAGGGAAAAAAAAATGGCACACTTCGCAAGTAGGTATTCAATCCGCTGAATCACAGCATAAAAAGGCTTATGATTATAAATCTAAGAATTCATATAGACTTGAGAATATAATTTATATAATTTATATTTATATTTGTTTATTTTAGTCCAAGTTACATCTGTGTAGCCCGGCAAAGGTCTCGTTGCCTACCTACCTGCAGTGTGCCATTTATTTCTTGGTCCGGGTGGCTGCCCAGTTACCGACGAAACAAAATGCAACAGTGGCAGGGACCCTGGCAAGCGATCTTTGTGTCTCTTGTTCTGTGTATGTGGCTTTGACATGAGAGGTATCGGTATCCGTAGAAAAGGCAACGAGAACCCCTGGATCTTTTCAGCTAACTAGTATGTAATATGTACTACACGCCCCCCCATCTCCAACGGAGTTCGTTACAAGAGAAGGGGGGGGGGCAAAGGGGGTCGGTGAGTGAAAAAAAAAAAAAAAAGAGATGAATAGACTTCCACTTCATGCTGGTTTCAGGCGGCTTTAGTTTAGCTTGGATGACGATGGCATCCTGTTCCTCCAGGTGTGCTTGTCTTCGGAAGGCCCGATCAAGCTGTCAAAATGTGGCTGGCTGCATGGTGTGATGATGATTGACACTGCATGAGGGTGGAAAAACCCAGTCATGGTCAAGGAGAAAGGGGGTTTGAGAAGAGTTTGATGCTAGTTACTGTAATTCTCTTTGCTAAACGTGCTCGTCAACTCCATCTCTGTGCCCGAGTCAATGAGCCATCCCGTTGCAGATGAGGCTGGGGGGAGCTTCTCGTCTCTGACAACAACACTCCGACAGTAACCGCTCAGCGATACCAGTCTCTTGCTTCCGCGGCGTGAGCCTTGACCGTCTTTAGTGATCGTAGTAACTTGTTGAGACCACTACAGGTCAGGTACTTGCAAGTCCCAGTCCTCACTCAATGTCGTCGATAGTGTTGCGTTGCCGTTCCACGATCTCCCCCTTTCCGCCCCCTTCCACATCTTCGTTGGGAATGTCGACCAAGTCCATCTGTAGACACTTGTGTACCATCGACCGTGGTATCGTCTTGTCCAGTCTCGCCTCGTCCATCTCCGCCATCACCTCCAACTCTTCCTCCGTCCCTATCTCCAGGACATCCTTCCACTCATCGGCCGGCGTCGTGGCTTCATCGGCATTATCAAACAACGGTGGTGGCGGAAGGCGGCGGTTTGGACGGCGCAAGCCTCCCCTCTTGATATGCTCCCGCGTGATGCTGTCTATACCACGTCAGTAGGGGCAGTAGCAAAGGAGTCACAGTAGTCGACATACGATAAGCTGTCCAGTAAGCTGAGTGGGACTGCTCCTTAAACAGTTTCTTAGATCCTCGGAGAGCATCGTGCGTGACGACAAAGTCCCAGAACCTCAGAGACCTCAGCTGCTCGAGCCTGTCTTTGAGCTTGAGTTTAACCCAGGCACTCCCGTGAACCGACTCAAAAACCACGAGGCCGTATTCGAGCGTCCACTCGCCAACCCACTGAATCTCCTCGACCTGGGACATCAAGGCCCTATCGCGACGACGTTGCTTAACCTGCTCTCTGCAACGCATGCCATCGATCCGCGCCTCGATCAAGGCATGGGGCCCCGGTTGTTGGCAGGCATGCATTATCTGAACCGACCAATCGTCCTCTCTCTCCTCGTCGATGTTATCGTTGACACGGGTGTGGCATTGTTCGCAGCACCACAGATATCGAGTCTTGACGAGAATCTTGCGCTTTTCGGGCGGGCAAAAGTCATCGCAGTCGGCAGTGCAACCGATCTTGAAGAGGTTGTGATGGCGGCATTGGGCGTACGTTAGAATGGCGAAGCAGCACGGCATGGCGATGTCAAATGGTGGTGTAGAATAGATGAGGTGATGTGCGTGCTGGAAGCAAGTCGAGAGATGCTCATCCAAGGATCAGGTAGACCACATTGTTCAACTGTCGCGCCGTAATCGTGGCCGTACCTGTCTGGCAGCCGCTGACCTGCCCTCAAACGTTTCCCCTCGTCGTTGGGAAGCAGCCACAGACCTCGATGATGCCCGCTGGAGCATTGTCACCTGCTAATCCGCAGCAACTGCCTTCTTGTTCAACACCACCCCAAACTCTCCTCTCGCGTTCGGCCGGAAAAGGGGCGGTCTGCATGTGCCACTGATTTTCAGCGTTCAAGACCTAGGAGACCGATACGTACCGACAAACGAACAAACATTACGAGCGAGGTACCCCAGGATATGTCCAAATCAAACAAAACAAGAGCCGTTTTTGCAATTTTGTGTGTCCGATACGCGGGTATCCATCTACACGGCCCATCTGATGCCAATTATTCTACAGAGAATTCATTCCACTCCTCAACACCATGCCGCAGTCCCTAACACAATGGTGAATCTTTGAATGCAACGTAAATCATCCCCTTCTCGTCTCTCCTCTCATCGTCCTTCTCCTGTCTCTCCCCTTCTAGGACCCCGCGTTTGTAACAAGGGTGAGCTCCGGGAAGTACTGCGAAAGCTTCCTTGGGTTTCGCACCTCTGCCCGAGTCGGCTCCTCCGTGTCTGATATCTGGTCCAAATCTGTCGTTGAGCCAAAGCTCTGGTTACTATCGAGGAGCTGAATCGACCGTCTCTTGACCTTGATGTTTCCCTGGGCCGGCATAGGTTTGTTGCTGGCCTCACTTGGTGGTGATGCTTGCACCGAGTGCGAGATTGGGGTTGATTCGCGCATAGATGCAGGTGTCCGAGATCGGCGGGCGATATCTGGGCTAAGGCTTCTGGATGGACCAAACTGCAAGGATGCTGTCATCATCTTGCGGTAACTATCGAGCTCGTGCTGGTGACGATCAACCATTCCGGGGCTGGCAGACTCGCTACGGGTCTTTTCGTTCGAAGTCAAGCCCTTAGCCTGAACATAGGCACTGGAACGGATGTGGTGAGGATCCCTCTCGTAGTACTTATCAACGATGGGGTGGACCATGACGGTCTGTCTGTGAATGGTCAAGAGGGAGTTTGTAGGCACGTTGACCCAGTTCTCTGCTTCAAGTCAGTCATCTGCTCTTTCTTGGTCACTAGAACCTCGGACGTACCTCTCTCAAATGTCAGGGGCTCGCTCGCCACGAGCACGATGTCGGCTCCCTTGTCCTTGCGCTCCATCTGGTATTGCCTGTCGTCCGCGGACTGTGTGCGTGTCGTCCATTGGGTTCCAGAAGAGTAGTACAAGCTGGCCGCCTCGTTATCGGAGCTGTTGATGTATCGGGTGCAAATGACGCTGTGGCCGTCGGTCACGGCAAAGTTGAGCAGACTTGTAGTGTCGACGTCCTCATTTTGTAGGATGCTCTCGGGGATCGAATCGATCAGCTCGTTGATCTGGGCAATCGTGCGTAGCATTGCCTTTCGCAGCACGGTAGGGCCAAAGCCGGTCTCGGGGCAAGCGCTCGGGTTGTGACCAAGCCGCTCAAGGGTGTCGAGGAACAGGGCAAAGGCCCATTCGCTGTCGGTGCCGCCCTTGACGCCAAGGTACCACTTGTCGGCCAGACGCTCGCTGAGGCGGCGCTTGATGTGCTTCCATCCTCCGAGTCCTCCATTGTGCATCCACATGAGGCTGCCGTGGGTGAAGGGATGGCAGTTGTCCTCGCTCAAGGAGCCCTCGGTCGTAGCCCGAACATGGCCAAAGATAAGGCGGGAGGCGGTCTTGGAGGCGATTCGCTGCAGGTTGGTGCAGTTCCAGGCGGGAATGGTCGAGGTGAAAAGGCAAGGCGCGGCGCCGAGCTTGGGGTCGGTGTAGAAGCCTATGCCGAAGCCATCTGCATTGTTCTGGCCACGTCTTGTATCCTACAGAAGATGATCTGTTAGATGATGTCCTTTGACCAGGGGTACTTGGCGTGGAGTGACTCACGAGACGCAGACGGGAGTCAAAGGATTGCTTGAGGATGGAGTGAGTCGGGTCGAGGATCAGCTTGGACAGAAGAATCTCGTCGCTTCCCTTGTAGACCTAGAAGAGTAAAATCTAGGGTCAGCACATACGTTGTTGCGTCGCACTGCGACCGAGGGGCCGGCTTCGGGCAAGGAAGGGGTTAGCAGAAACGTACCAGGAAACGGCACATGGTGATGCTCGTGCGCGCAAAAATCTGGCCAGGACCGACGATGCAGAGATCAAGAGGAAGAGAAGGGAGATGGTTTTTTAAGGGGAGAAAAAGAAAAGAAGAAATTCTATGCAGAGAAAAGGATTGCGTGTTTCCAAGAAGACACAGGCGCACGCAAGCAGGCAGTTAATGGATGGATGGTTGAATCAATGTGAGGGATGACACCATTGGTTTGCTTTTTGGGCTATCGGTGGACGGACCATCGGCATCGGTGGGAGTCTAAGACAAGGCTGAGAGGGAAGGGGGCGAGGGGGCCAATGAAAGGGGAGGTAAAAATAGGGGGGAGTAGAGAGGATAGGGGGATAAATGGGAGAAACAGATTAAAGTTTATAGACATTGCGTCAGAAAATGTCTATCTTGAAGGTAAATACGGAGTATCTGGTTGAGACTGGTGTAATTCTCAATGTTTGCTTGGTTCCTGCAGCAGTTGTCCGTAGCCCCATGGCATCATCAGATAACGAGGCTGCTACATTTGCACTTTCAAGGGCCGACATCCATCAACCGGAGCCCAACGGATCCATTGGACCTGATGAATGGGCCCTTGCAGTTGGGTTTTCCGGGGGAGTGGCCCGCCGACGGGTGGAGCATCTCACAGCCCGTCCACCACCGTCTGACAGCTCTTTACAATGAATGGAATGAAGACTTTCCAGTGACTCAAATATCCCATCGCCATGGTTCATTTCGTATACGGCTTCTGTCTCATCACGCCACTGAATCCCTGTGAAGCCGTGATGCATGTCTTTGACCTTGCCCTGGCTTAGGTATGTTTTAACCGGAACTCTCAGGGGCCCGGGCGTCCCTCTTCAGCGTGCCGTCTTTCTGCTGGGGGACGTGGGATGTAGCGGCAATGCGGCTTCCAACTCCCGCCCGGGCCCTCTAGCGTCACCGCCTGCCGCTGCCGCCGCCGCCCCCGCCCCTTGTTGCTTGTTGTTGCCCTGCCCACGAGCCACAGCGCACTGTCGTGTGCCAAGATGTGGCTGGACACCATGTGGCTGTGCGTCTGGACCTCTCTACGCGAGATCGGCGCCCATTTACACGCTCCGCGTCCTTCGCGACCGCGTCTTCGATCCACATTTGCGCCTCCCAACCCCGGCCTTTTGGCCTCCCCGCGCCTAGCTATAACCCGGCAACGCAACAGAAACTCTTGCCAGGATCTTTTCCCCCGAGTTGGCCAAATGTTCTGTTCTAATTACTTCCATTTTTATCAGCCCAAGTAACAAACCCCCAGATCAAAGCTCAACTCCATCCATCCCATATATCACCTCGGAAATCCTGGTTCGAAAGGAGCGTCATGGAGCCTCACGGAGCTACAGCGTCCTCTTCCTCCGCCATGGCATCCTCACCAGCCGCCGCCTCTGGTCTCCCAACGCCTTCGCAGTCGTCTCGACGAAAAGCAAACCCTTCCATCACACCACGACGCTTCACCCGTTTCTGGTACCAGAGGCAAGCCCAGACCGAAGAGCTGCCAAAACCTAGGAGCATCCTTGGCAACCTGGACTCGTCGGCCGTCAACCATCGACAATTTCTCTCGCCTCAATCTCTCTTTAGCGACCCCATTGCATCCGATCCCATCTCTCCTCCGTCACCCACCAGCCGATTGCAGGATGATTCAAGGAAACGAAAGCTTCAGGCCGGACAGGCTGAGCCCGACTTCAAGAGGCCTGCTCTCAACCTTGAGAATATGCCTCCACTCCGACTCAATCTCCCAGGACAAGCATCCCAGGAGAACGATGTTACCTTGGCGGATACTCCCACAAAGGCTCAAGATGGTCAAGAGAGTCTCAACAGCCGTAGAAAAGCTACTCTGGTATGGAAGCGTCCCAACCTCACAACATCTCCATCCGTGCTAACCTTCCATCAGAGCGACTTCTTCAAGGCCAGCCGTGGCGGTGCTCAAGCATTGAAGAAAAAGAAGAGCTCTGTCAGTTTCCATAGCCCTGCTGACACGGTAGAGCCCAACGACGTATGTCACCATTCCCAAGTTTCTATTGGCGTCACTGACATCATGACTTAGCCACTGGAAGGATACGCACCAAAACCGATTAGGAAATTTGGCAACCGAGGATTCGAAGCTCAACTACTCAACCGCGAACATGGATTCGGATATCCCAATGGCCAGACATATCTTCACACCCCAGCCTATGACATCCGATCTGAGACGGCCAACTTTCACAGCCGCAGCACCGATTATCATGAGTGTGTCGCCCGGGACAGACCTGGCAACACCATCCCGTTCTGCCTTGCCAGCGCCAACAGTGCCCCAGTAACCGCCATTGGTGATGAGGAGGGTTGCGTGAGATTCTTCAACACGACTTCAACCGACAATCCCGCCGAGGACAAGGTTGATGCTCACTTCCAAGTCCACGACAATGCTATCTGGGACATGGCCTTCTCGAGGGACGACCTCCGCCTTGCAACAGCTTCTGGTGAATCAGGCGTCATCATCGACACCATTACACAGACCGTTGCAGCTAAGCTTGAGGGTGGTCACTGGGACTCAACACGTCAAATTGCGTGGCAAAAGGGACAAACCACGGGCAACGTCCTGGCCACCTCGGACAAGGCTGGACGTATTCGTCTGTGGGATTTGCGATGCCCCGATGCCCGCAGCAAGAGCTTTTCGACCCGTTCCAGTTCCAGTGAATCCAAGGGACGCCGGGTTGTCGTCGAGAGGGATAGAAACCTCGACCCCTTCCGCGCGGCCACCCTCAACATTCTCGACAGAACTCATGAGCGTACCATGGCGGGCAACACCTCGACCGCTTCCGTCACTGCCATCCAATGGCTTCCCGCTGACCGTGAGCACCTTCTCCTCTCAGCCTCTGAGGCTGAGGCTGTCGTCAAGCTCTGGGATCTTCGACATATCAAACCTCGCCGCCAGGAGAAGAGCACCCCCTTGGCTTCCACCCGCGCGCCTACCTCGCACGCCTGGCGATCCTACGGCATTACTTCTCTAGCCCTCAGCAACGATGCTGCTCGCATGTACGCCGTCTGCAAGGATAACACCGTTTACGCATATTCCACGGCCCATCTGATGCTCGGCCACGCCCCTGAACTCGAGGATTTCGCTACGAAGCGTCGACCAACCGGTGTTGAGGGTCTCGGACCCCTCTACGGCTTCAAACACGACTCCTTCTCCGCCCGAACCTTTTACGTCAAGTGCAGCATCCGCCAGAAGGGTCTCTCACACTCTTCCGACCTCCTCGCCGTTGGAAGCACCTCTTCGTCTGTCATGCTCTTTCCCACCGACGAGCGCCATCTTCGCTCGGCCTGTGGCCAGCGTGCCCATGTCTTGGACTCTCCAAGCTCCGCCATCACTCCCTCCCGCTCCTTCTCGGGCCCTGAGACCTCGTTCCCTATTTTCCGTATCGGCACTCCCCTCATCCACGGACACTCAAGCGAGGTCACCAACGTCAGCTGGACGCACGATGGCAAGCTTGTTAGTGCTTCTGACGACTACATCGTGCGCCAGTGGCAGGAGAACGGTGAGCGCGCACGACACTACAGACAAGTTGGCGACTTTGGTGGTGAGCGTCACATGGCAGGCTGGGCCGATGTGGGCGACGACTGGGACGCCGAGGATGATGAAGAGTAGGAGAAAGCTGAGAGCAAGTGTTCTTACAAGCCTCTTTCAGGCATTGTTTCCTTTTTTTACATTGTTATGATACCCAACCACATTGTAAGGCGTTTCAAGTATAGGTAGATACTTCTTGGTAGAGTCCTGGATTTGAGGGACTCGGAAATGGAGTAGAAAAGGATCCATTAGCATAAGGTGTTAGTTACTTGAGTTAGTACCTAGATGTAACACAACATCTACAATAACACGATATTTCCAGCGAAGCCCACTTGCTGATCAACGTGAAACGTCCAAGGACTATACGTCCGTAATTGTATTGTCTGTCTCTAGGGTCATAATTGTTCCTATTGTATGGTTTGTTCATGTATCCATGGGTATCGAGTACAATCGTATGCGCGTGCTCAAAGGCAAAGACAATCTGCCAAACTCCTGTGTAGACATGCGTGTTCCTCCCAAAATGGGTATCCTGGGTGCTTCATTACTTGGAAAGGAAAGGAAAGAAAGAAAAAATGCCAGACAGAGTGAGGTCACCAACATCAGTATACAGGCATTAGGCCTCCAGAGCCATTTCCTCGCCTCGTCTGGCAGAGAAGAGAGCTCCATATGTAAGAGCACAAAAAGCCGCCAGCATTAGCCAATTGATTACATGCATGCTATGAAGCCTCTGGGACGCGAGCTTAAGGCACTCCTGGAGGCCATGCTTGGTCTTGGCTAAATCGCTTGGGGTTCGTGTTGGCTTGGGGAGAGCCTTCTCAAATCTCATAGATTTAGAGGCTGGGCAAGACGCAGCACCACCGTCTTTCGTTGAAACATCAGGGTGGCCGATGGGTGTGGCTGGTTCGCCCTGAGGGGGTGAAGAAGCTGTGGTGTTCACCCAGCTTTTCCATACTTGTCTAACACCATCCGATGACAACGTTGAAGTTCGTGCGCTTCGTTCCTTGGTGATGGACACACTGTCCCTGATGCGAGAGCGGAAAGGATGGAACTGGTCGACAAGCTCAAAGAGAGAGGATGTTGTACTGCTGCTGTCCTTACGCTCTGTGTCGCCGCAAACCGAGTCGAGTTGACTGATCAGGAGAGTCATATTCTCGAAGATGCAGACTGACTCTTGGACAATGTCTTGTTTCTCGCGGGCCGTCAACATCTTTTCTGCATCCAAAAGACGTTGCTTAAACTCGCGCTTTAGGTCCTCGCCATCCTCGGGAGTCGGGAAATGGAAGAACCTCAGGGGCATCGTATGTGTAGCATGACAATAATGGTCATGGTCGGGAAGTTGCTCGTCAGATAGGCCGCTGGCTCGCTTAGTAGGCCTCGCACTCTGCTGACAAGGGAGAGAGGTCGGTTTGATAGGGGATGGTAGATGATTCCAAAAATCATCCCCTGCCGACTCCAAGGTAGCTCTAATGAAGCGACCTCCAGCAAAGAGCGCCATGAATAGGATATAGGAGTAGGCCAAGAGAACATGGGGCCGGTGTTGGACTGATCTCTTGATGTGCTGAATGAAATTTCCCAAACGTCCGCTCTGTTCAACAAACCGCAGTTGATCTTCCACAAGACTGTCTGACCATCCTGTTATATGTGCGATATCTGCCTTGAGACGGTCAGACCGCATCAGGCCAGGAAGGAAAACATGCTGAAGGATAGACTGCGTCCTGTTGCAATCTGAGAGTCTATGTCCATCAGAGGCAGGGAAAGTAGTCTCAGGAAGACCAGTGTCGGTGTCATTAGGGTTGGTTTCTTTTTCGTCAACGTCATTGACCGGGGAGTCCAGAATATCGCGCCATAGTGCCTCAAAGGTCATGTAGATGGGTGTGATGTGGAGGAGTCCCGAGATATAGAGAGCAGGATCTTGAGCACGGGGAGGAAGCGCGAGTGGCAAGCGAGCGATGATGAGCTTGTTAAGCTTGGCGTGGATGCCCCTAGTAGTAGCAACGATGGACTCGGCTAACGGACGATCATGATTGTGGTGAGGCTGAGAATCGTTTGGAACATCATGAGTCGACGTCATGTTTGCCGTATGAAGGCGTTCGGCTAGCTTGAGCCGCCGCCTAGCCACAGGAAATGGTTGTTGCACCACAGGCAGTTGAAATAGACTATGCAGTCCTGACGGACGGTTCTGAGAGATGATAGGTAGGAAGTGACCGAGAACTGTATGTGAGAGCGAGGCAATCTGAGGAATTAGAATAGGGACGAAATAGATCAAGATCGAGGTTGGGAAAAAAGGTCGAGGTGATGGATGATGTCGGAAGAAGAAATGTTCGGGGTTAACGGTGCTTAAGGCCTCGACGTTTGTTTTTTCAACGTTGTCAGTCAGTGAAGGTGCGATGAAAGCCTTGTCCTTCCCAGGTTCCCAACGTGGATGAATATGTCGCCCCCTTCCCAATCCGAGTGTGATTCGCCGCCCGCAACCTTTTTGCCTATTTTGATTCACCAAAGATCTTATCTTCATCCCACGCATCTCATGCCCGTCACCACTTCAGGGACCAGCAGGAAAAGGACCCTACGACCCATGACCCCGGTGTGTAACAGAGAGGCCCGCCAGGAATACTTCATCGAGATCGAGGTTTTGGTGTCCCATCGACGACCGCCGCACTTTCAGCCCCGCCGTCTCTAAGTGCGTGACCCGCTCAGCGGATCGCTCTGTTGGCGTGCGCCGCATGGAGGCATAAGAAAAGGCAGATAGATTTCGAGTTCGAGACCTGGGACATCTAGATTTGTAAAGATACGTTTCTATAAATTACAGAACAAGGCTGAAGTCACGTCTTGGGTTCTCCAACCTAGATTCTTTGACCAGAGGCTGTTTTGACAAACACTGATTCAGTGAATTCCAGTCCACATGCCCATGACACCTCTTCATGCAGCACTCGTAAAAATGCCTTGCCTGAACCCAACCTACATAATACATACAACTTACATGCTGTATCTACACGTGTAGTATCGAAAGCTTCCCAAAGGCAACTATCGTGTGACCCCTGTTGCACATCTCCCGCTGGGGTCCCGCCCAGTCCCCGCCGAGATGGAAATCTCGGCAAGATCATCGCAGGATCCATGTGACCGAGGTCGAGGCTATGAATAACTTCAAGGGTCCAGAACGCCTGGACCTGGCGCGATCAACACTTGGTTGGTGAGTTGTCTGGATCGTGCATGTTGAATGGGACCCTGAGGTCGCGCTCTTTTCCACCACTTATGGCATCTAACCAAAACTCCTAATATCCCATGCCTCGGTATCTTGCTGTGTTGAGAATGCTAACAGTTCAAAGTCATAAAAGTCATCCAAATGCTCTCTTCCATACGCTCTACATCACATCACCCGCCGCCCTCTCCAAGTCATCATTCTTCTTGTTATCCTCTTCATCATGACTCTCGCGGCTCACTACAATAAAAGACACAAACACAACCGTTGCTCCAATCCAATATGTAAAGCTGGAGTATCGGCTGTATTGCAGCATCTCACCGATCAAAGACAGCGGGATCGTGAGTGACAGGCCCACAGTCACCACCAACGGTGTGGTCATGAGCAGTGCCAGTGCCCACGAGATGTCGCTGATGAAGGATGACACGGCATTGAACTGGATAGGACAAGTTAGTAGGCTGACGTGAAATAGGAGAGTCAAGTGAGCACTCACAATAATGATACCCCAGATTGTGGCATCTGGTGGAAGTTCAAACTGATGCCAAGTTAGTGAGATATGACAGCAGGCGCAGAATGTGACCTACCGTTTCCAAGCCTGTCCAGTGTAGGATGAAGAAAAGAGGCCACAAGAGGATCAAGTTGAACACGCCAACCAATCCAAAGAATAGTTGCATGTCCACCTTGTCCTCATCGGGAACCCTCCTCTTCATCACCGTCACATACATGCCGTAGATAACCGCACTCAGAAACGCCATCGAGTCACCAATAGCAATCTGTGCCGTTGTCTTGTGTGGGAACGATCCCCGGTCCTCGTCACTCGTGCCAGACATGTCCACGGTAGAAATGAGTATGACACCGGCGAGCGAAGCTCCCACGCCGAGGAGCTTTGGTGTCGAGAAGCGCTCGATTCCGCAGAAAGAGCAGAAAATGAGCGTCCACACACTACTTGTCGATGTCAAGATCGTAACGCTGGCAACGCTCGTGTACTCCAGGCAGGCCGAGGAGAAGTAGTTGGCGAGGAACCAGAGCATACAGAACTCAAAGCTCAGAACCGCGGTTTCGTGAAGTCCCAGCTTCTCTTCCGTCTTTGTGCTTTCTGCGCTGCCGTACCCATCCGATATCAAACGCTCGCCGGCTCCCTCGTCTTGGTCCTCGCGCAACGTCTTTGTCCGAGTCGTTCCCAGCCTGTAGTCCGCCCATAGCTGAGTCGCATCGTGTCGCAGTCCACGGAAACCAGTCTTTCTCAAATATCGAAGAAATTTGGGTGCCAACGAGATGGCAAATATCGAGGTATTAACGTATACGACAAAGAACGGCTTATTGTAGGTTTGGTCGGCAAAGATGTACTACCAAGCAATTAGCACCGGGTATCGGAGGAAGTCAGCAGGTCGCGTACACTGGCGATAAAGTTGTATAGCGTCCAGAGAAACACCGTCAGCATCAACAGCGCGAATCCGACCGTCCTCCGAGCAACTCCGCCCAACCCTAGCTTTGCCCTCAATCCATAGCCGGTTGGAGACGTTGACCTCGGTTCGAGTAGGGGGCTCGTCGGCACTGCCACATCGTCTGTTTCGTCGTGTACGTGCTGTCGTTCGCGTGTGTATGTGCCCTCCCCCGATCGCGTCGACTCAGGCCGTGACATGCTGAATGACTTGTCGCGAAGACGTCCAGATTACCCCGGACCGTTTGTGCGTAATCTCAGCCGGGATCGCGATAAGCGATGACGTTTGGTTGGCGATATCGGCTCGGCGCGTCGTCGACCGGGAGGACCGAGGTTTGAAGCTCGACTCAACACTTCGAAGAGTAAAAGGATCAAAAGATCTTGCCGTGGGACAGAAGCTGGTGAAATGTCAGGGTCGTGAGCACGCAACCACCCGAGGCGGGGAGATGATTAAAGACGTTCCAACCCTTCCCGTGCCGCGCCCCCCGCCGAACCCGATCTGGTAAGTCTGCACATGAGTCGCTTGCGATAACACAGGGTTTGATCCGGTACCGGGGACCTGAATTAGTGACAGCTTTACAGGCAATTCGTTCAAGGTGGGACATTATTCATGCTGTACCAATGGATCTTTTTCCTAGCTTATCTTGACAGCCGTTGTGGAGAGTCCGTAATGCATGGGCGGATTGAACTCTGCATGAACTTTGATAACGTGCCACCTTCGATTCGCTTCATGATTAAAAGAGAAGATCGATATTTAATGGACCAACTTGGTTACCCGAGTTGAGTTATTTTACACTAATTCATGGCTTATATCCTACCATGAGAATAAAAAGAATCCTGGGGAAATGCCATATCAAAGCTCTAATTCGCCTCAGGTTATGGTACGAGAAGAAGGCGGCTGTTGAACTGATAATGGATCCAAACTGCCAATAAACCATCACAGCGAGTTACTGATGAAACTAAATCCAGCAGGCTCAGCTCTTCTATAGCAGATGCCAATCCGAGTAGGTGTTCTGGGCAAGATCTACTCCAATAATGAATCACGAGTAAGTCGCCATGGCCACCCATCACCTTGCAGTGTTCGATCCTGAGGATGGATATCTCCGTTCCACATGTCGAGCAAGTGCAAGCCTTATCTAGTGCGAGTCGATGCATCACCAAAACCTTGAAATCTTCAGGTTGTACGAATCCCATCATCTGGGCAAGTACAGTCACATGGAGCTTTACGGGACGGAGTAGAGTAACGCAGCGTCTCACCTCCATGATACTTTCCTAGGTAGCTACAGGTATTTGCCATACTTTCTGTGGAATGGGGTAGGCAGCTACCTCCTCAAGTCGACGGCTAGTATTTCCAACCTGAAGCCATCACACAAGTGCCTTCCAATATGTCTGCATTATAGTAGACGCCTGCCTAAGCAGGGATCCAAGCACAACCTTTCTCCTTTCATCATCTTTTGGCAGTCTTTTGGTTCAGCAAAGAATACTAAGAGCTTCATCAACTACTACCAAGATCAATATCGACTCCATAACATTCGTCTGCTTTATTCAGTCATCTCGGTACCCTTTGACAAGATCACCACGGATAGGCATCACTTCTCAACACTTTTGCAAGAATGGCGCATCCAGAAGCAAATAATCCAGACGAGATTGCTCTGTCCTTTGAGAGCAACCTCAACGCTTTCGCAAGAATGGCGCATCAAGAAACAAATAACCCAGACGAGATTGCTCTGCCCTTTGAGAGCGACCTTCATGATCATCCTCTCACTTACACGTTCTCCAAGCTCCGTCTGCGAAAGGTATGCCCAAAAGGACCGGAGATCTTGGACTCGGATTGGGGGAGAGGCATTCGCCTGAGTGGCCTAAACCCTTACGGCCACGATGAACAGTTGGCATTTTACTTGATTCGAAATATGCTCAACGGTGAAGATGACGTCTTCGGCCCTGCAGAAGGGGACATAAGCCCTCGAGTTTTGTTATACATGACGGAGCTGTACATCTGGCTTAGCAATCCGACCACTACTTTTGTCAAAGGAGCATCGGTCTAGGGGATCACAACAGGCTTCGCTGAAACAAAGCCATTCCTCCCGATGAACACGATACAGACCACGATTGATGGCATGATCCAGGCGGCTGGTTCCCTAAATCGACTGCATGAGTGGCCACTGCTGACGATTGTGGCACAAACATGGGGGATTCCAAACCTTACAAGACGATGTCGTGAAGTGCTGAGCCTCTTCTGTCGCGATGCGGAGACACGTGTCCCTGAAAAACTACGGGGTGAATTGACCATCCGAGAATGGGTTATTGTGCAGGGTCTTGACCTAATGAGTAAGTAGCCAACACATACCTAAGCACCCTTACTGTTGAGCTAACACAATCTGCATGAATAGGTGAAGAAGTCTTCATTATGCGCCGCAGTTATATCGAAAGAATTTTCGAGGCTCTTCGCATCTTCTGTTATCGACCCAATCCCGAGGACTACAAAGAAGCAGTTACAGATATTAGCCCCGATGACCTTGACCTCAAGGACATTAGACGCTCTGACATGGTGTTTGGCATGTGGCCATGCGACGAATGCACTGATATTCCCTCCGATCTTCTCCAGGAGGAATTTGGATTCTTTCTCCCCTGGTTTACAAATCCCGGCTCATACAGAGGATGTGTCGACACTCTGCTCTCACTCCTCCGTCAAGTCGAAGTCAACCTTCGAGTCGATGGGAACAGAGGCTGCAACCAACTGAAGCACTTTTGCACCCGGCTGTTAGACAAGGTTACAAGGGAACCAAAAACCTCATAAAATGATCATGGGCAAAGGCCTGGAAGAGGATCAGGTGGTAGTGACTATGAGGCTATGCGCTTTGGTGGCGGATAGGGGACGGATAGGCAAGATTTGTCAGGCTTCAGGCTTTTTAAATTGACTCTTGTGCATTCTTAAGACGCTTTTCTTGGATTTCTGTGACTGCACAACTCATGACTTGAAAACCATGGTCTCAGGTTCCATGCCCTTGCCCTTGGCCAGAACTCCAGCCTTTCTCAAGATAGAAACACAGTTTTGGACCACCTCATCCGCCACACCTTCAGTCTTGGTTGGGAACTTGACTGTCTTGAGCCACTCTCGGGCATCAGGTTCGGTGTAACCCAGGCTGCTCGAGATGTAGGCGACGGCCTCCTCCTGGTTGGCGTTGAAGTGAGCAATGCCCTGGTCCAGCTTCCCAAAGAGGTCGCTCACGCGGGCGTCCAGGCCGCCCTGTGTCAGCTTCGTAGAGGCGACGATCTTCCAGCTGCTCCAGGGTGTGTAGATCTCGCCGACGCGGCGGATCTCTCCAGAGTCGTAGAACTTCTTAGAGGTGAAGTGCTCCCACATGAAGAAGTCGGCTTCGCCACTGTTGACGGCGTTGCGGAGGTTCTCAAAGTTGTTGAGCACCACCGTCTCGGAGAAGGGCTTCTCCGCTGAGCCGGGGGTAAGCCAGCCTTGCTGGTCGGCTAGGACGAAGCCCATCACGTAGCTGCCGGAGCCGATCCGGGAGACGCCAATCTTGCGGCCGCTGAGAGAGCCGACGGATGTGATCTCGGGGCGCTTTGCTCCTGTGGAGATGGCCCAGCCTGGGGGAGTGAGTGGTTGCTCTCATAGTCTTGACTGGAGAGCTATGTAGGGGCGACTTACAGAGGGGAGTTTCAACATAGGTGCCAACCAAACGATATCCGCCATCGCCCTCAACGCCCTCCTTGCCAAGACCGGCAATCCAACCCTCAGTCAAACCGACAGCAACATCAATCTCGCCAGCACGGATGGCAGTGACCATGTGGCCAGTGCCAGAAGGAAAGGGAATCAGAGTGGCATCGAGACCAAAGTGCTTCTGAGCAAAATAGAGGGGAGTCGAGAAGTGCTCTGGCACGAAGCCGATGCGAAGAGGAGTTGAAGACATGGCTGATATGTAAGAGGTCTCACAGACGAAAACTAGAGGCGTTTGTACAAGGTCTTGTAGCTCAATGGGTTTGTCACAACTCGGGATGGAAGAAGGTACAGGGTTGGGGACCGAAGATGGACGGACGGAACGGCGTGCGGGGGTGGGGTAGATGGGGTGGTGACGGCCCCTCCGCCGCTGACAGCGCGGGAAGAAGTTAAACTTTGTGGATCAAGATTGATTGATGATATTCCTTTCATCAGGGTCCATTCATTACACATGAATGGTTATTTAGATCTGTCCAGCAAGGATACGCGGAACCCGGGATATTGGCAAACTGGCCAAGGTCTGGGGTAGCACAAGGGAGACAGCCAAGCCACGACAGCCCTGGAGATAGTATTGTTCTGTTGCTTGAGCTATGCGCCTTGGCATTGCATCATTAACCAACCTGATAACTTGCCATTGATGGAAAATTGTTGTCTTTGAGCTGCAGTACTGACAAGATCAGTGATCTAATACAACCCCAACTCACGAGAGGTTACGTACGCCCATCAAACATGATGCTGTCTCACAAGACCCTCAGCTTGCGTGTCTCTGTGGCGTCTACTGCAACATTGGAAGCCTGGGCAAGCCCTATGCGCGGAAGACAAGGGTCCTGAACGCGGTTCTTCTACCCCTGGCTTTCAGGGCCAAGCCTCCCGTCTGGAGCTAAATCCGGACACGCTAATCGTTCAAATCAACTTCAAAGCTTTGGGGCTTAGTAACCATTTTGAGGCGCGAGCTTAGCTTCTCATTGTCTCGATACACGACTCAGCCTCCCATCTTTTTTTCTCCCTTTCTCTCTTTCCTGTCTGTGATCTTCGATATATTTCATCTCTTTTCATCTCTTCTTCTCCGTGCACAGCACTTCATTTTTTCAGGGCGTTGCCCCCAAAATCCATGGACTAAGCCGCTCCTTAAAGAAAACGTCACTCCCTTGTCTCGCCCCAGTCTCCCAGGATGCCACCGTATCAAACACCAGCCGTCGAGCTGGAACCAGAGCCCGAATATGCCCCAGATGTGCCTCTGCTGGATCTAGAGTCGCCCGGGATCCATGACGATGCCGCCAGCGATGCCAGCAGCCTTCATTCCCACACGGAGCCGACCACCCCTAACTATCGGTTCTCGCGATGGGGCATCCACTCCCCGCGGCGCATCGTCATACTAGTCGCCCTCATCAAGTTTTCCGTCGTTTTGAGCGGCATGCTCTTGTTTCTACCCTTTGCGCGTATTCTGGAGGATATGATGTGCCATGTTCACTATCAGGACACGTCTTCGGAGATCATTGATGAGATGAAGTGCAAGGTCGACGAGGTGCAGGCTAGGTTGGGGTACTTTTATGGCTGGAACAGTCTTTTATCCTCCATCGTTGGTATGCATCCCCCAACAAAAAGTGTACAGCTTCGGCATCTAATCGACTTAGGCCTCATGGTTGCCTTTCCCTATGGAATGATGTCTGACAAGATTGGTCGGAAGCCAACACTGCTTTTTTCGTACTCTGGCGTTGCAGTGAGCTTCCTCTTTGGCCCCGCGGCTCTCAAGTCGAGCCAGGATGCACTGCGTGAGAATCCGTATATCCTCCTCTGGGGATGCGTGTTTCAGCTTTTTGGAGGTGGCATCCCGGTTATGCTGAATACTCTCTACGCGGTGGCAGCCGACGTGAGCACTGAACAGGACAAGTAAGTAATACTCTGGTCTCATCTCAAGAGTTGTGCTGATTGGAGCCCAGAGCAAAGCACTTCCTTTGGCTGACGTTTGGTTCAACCGCTGGTGGAATCACTGGCCCAGTTATTTCAGGCCTTCTCATGCAGAAATACGGTCCATGGGTTCCCATCTATCTCGTCATGACCACGGTGCCGGTTGTCCTGGTCACGCTCGTCCTTCTCCCGGAGACTTTGACCGTCAACCTCAAGAACCAGAAAACTCAAGTTGACAGAGCCACGCCAACCACCTTCAAGGAGCATATGACTCACGGACTCAATGAACTCATCCACTCTTTGAATATGCTCAAGAACCTCAGCGTCGTCATGATCCTCGTCACCTTTTTTATCCAGAATGCTCGGTTCACGGCTTACATGACCATCATGGGGCAGTATATCAGCAAGCACTTTGGGTGGAAGCTTGCCGAGGTCAGCATTTTGCTATCTCCCCTAGGAATCCTCAACCTCATCATTCTTGGCGGCCTACCCAAGGTTGCCGACATTCTTGTCTCGCCTCGCTTTCGAATGACACCTTTCGGCAAGGACTTATTTCTGACGCGCGTCTCAACCGGCATCCTAGCCTTTGCAGCTTTCTTCCAAGGCATGAGCCATAACATCGTCTTGTTCCTGTTTGGTCTCTTCCTTGGAACTTTCGGTGCTGCGGACAGCCCTCTTGCACGCGCAACCGTGACACATTACGTTCCACCAGAATTCACTTCTAGATTATACGCCTTGATAGGCATGATCGAGGTGATTGGGTCTTTTATTGCAGGTCCGGTTCTGGCCTGGTGTTTTGACAAAAGTCTGAAGCTAAAAGGATTCTGGATGGGCCTGCCGTGGTACTACATTGGCTTTCTCTGCACGCTGGCTTGGGTTGCATTGTTATTTGTTAAGCCACCTAGGAAGCATTCACGAGAGGATCCGGGAGATATTGATGAAGATGATACGGAAGAGTACATGCCAGACGCTCCTCTGCGGCTTCAATAGAACTCGAGCCGAGAAAAGTACAACTCAACAATTGATTGCTGTCGATATAGAGTATTAGGCGCATCGGCACGGGAAATTTTACTTGCAATTACATCTTGGATACCCAAATAGACGTCTTTTAAACAATTTCTCGTGGTTTTCCGCAAAGAATACGGATTGCCTTCGCTTATCACCCACCTTCCAGAAATGGCTTCAAGAGGAACTTTTGTCGCTTCCTCTTCGCAAACCGACCAAGGATAAACATGCGCATTATCTCCAGGAGGGGAACTTTTTTACGCGTTCCGCAGAAGGGATTCGTCATTCTATTAGCTGATGGCTGCATGTCGACAGGCAGATCTTTCTAATCCCTGCCCTGTAAATGCAGCCTCTGTTCCGTTCCATTGGGTTCAAATTCCCAATCTTTCGACCCTTTTTCTATTCTTTTAACCCCGGATTTTACACAAGCATTTGATCTTGTCTAGTTGAAACTCTATTTTCAGCATTGTCGCGATTGTCTCGCGATGGAGTCTTACAACTCCACGGCCTGTCAAGATGGCTTCCTCGGACCTAGTGTCTGGACTGAGGGCTGTCGTGGCGGCTTCGATTTTACTCGTAAGAACATCCCTTTTCGATAGACAACGCTTTCTGACATATTTGCAGTCCTGTTCCAAGAGAGTATCTTGAGCATTGTTCCCTCTGCTCTGTTTCTTCTCCTTGCTGGTCCTCGAGCTGCATATCTCCTTAGATCTCCAGACAGGGCAAAGCGTCACGCGACTTATACGCCCAAACTTGTATGAACTTGCCAAGACTCTCACGCTGCATGTCTAATATCGTTTAGATTACCTCTGCCGTCTATGCAGTTCTGCAGGTGGTTCTCGTAGCGCTAGTGCCCACTACCAAGCATCTCAACACGCGCCTCTCGCTCGCCGCAGCTGTTCTAAACCTCTTGGCGGCCTTTGCCATTGTTCTCTTGGCTCATATTGAGCACGTTAAATCTATTCGTCCATCATTTCTACTCACAGCTTATCTATCCATCTCGCTGCTTTTCGATGCTGCCCGACTTCGAACTGAGTGGCTCATGCTGCTCAACCTTCCCTACGCCGCGACCTTGTCGACCTCTACAGTCTTTAAACTAGCTGTCTTGGTTCTCGAGACTATCGAGAAGCGCAAGATTCTCATCACTGCGGACCATGCCCCCTCGAAAGAAAGCACCAGCGGCCCCTTTAGTCGTGGATTCTTCATCTGGCTGAACTCGCTCCTCTTCTCGGGCTGGGCTACTGTGTTGACCAACAATGACTTGCCCACGATCTATGAGAAGCTTTCATCTGAGAAGCTTGCACTTCGATTTGGCAAGGCTTGGCAGAAAGGTAAGTCATCATGAAGACTTTGTGATCGTGGGTTAACATATTCTAGCAACTCGAAGCAAGAAGCCTTCCTTGTTCTTCACCACCATCAGGGTTCTGAAATGGGAACTTCTCAGCATCACCCCGCCCCGGCTTGCCATGATTGCTCTTAGCATCTCGCAGCCTTTCCTTGTTAGCCACGCCCTGCGCTTTCTCACTATGCCGGCGTCCGAAGCAACCATGAATCTCGGCTATGGTTTGATTGGTGCTTTTGCTTTGGTCTTTATCGGCTCAGCTGTAAGTGATACTTGACATCGCATGAATACGTGGGAACTGATCATGTTAGATTATCACGGCATGGTATGAGCACTTGACCTTCCGGGCTGGTGCCATGGTGCGAGGCGGTTTGATCACATTGATCTACGGCAAAATGATGAAGCTGCCCACGGATGACCTCAACGAGTCATCAGCCGTCACCCTCATGGGTAATGATGTCGAGACGCTGACAGAAAAGCTCCACATGCTGCTGGTAGAGTCTTGGGCAAACACCCTCACCGTCGGTATCGCAATGTGGATGCTTGCCGCTCAGCTGGGAGCAGTTTGCGTGGCACCCATCATTACAGCAATCAGTATGTCCAACTATACAGAGTACCATGACTCTTGCTAACAAACAAAGTCTCCTTGATACTTTCCGGTAGTATCGGCAAACTAATGGTTCCACGGCAGATGGTCTATCAAAAGGCAACTCAGGACCGCATCAATTTCACCTCCGAGGTGCTCAGCTCCATGAAGCCAGTCAAGATGCTTGGATACTCGGAACGCTTCCATAGTCTCATTGCACAGAAACGTGACGAAGAGATTGAAGTTGGTAAACGGTACCGCATGATAAGCGTTTACGCCAACTGCATAAGTATGTTTCTCCCTCCGCTCCGTTGATCTTATGCTCATCTATTACCAAAGCAAACTGCAACATAAGTTTGACAGAGGCCATCACCTTTGGCGCATATGCAATTGCTGCCAAGCTTGGAGGCGGAGAGCCATTCTCAGCTGCTCAGGCAATCACGGCCTTGTCCGTCCTGGGCGTCATGATGGATCCGCTGTCAAACCTACTGGGTAACATTCCAAACTCGTTTTCTGCCTTTGGATGCTTCAAGCGGATTCAAGAGTTCTTGATGCTCGAGGAGAGGATGGACCGCCGCCAGATTCACGACAATCAGAGTGGCCCTTCATCGAAATCGTCTCAAGAGAATACTGAAACACAACACGAAGCGCTTGAGCTCAAGACTTTGAGCAAGGTCGGGGCCGATGGTTCACGAATCTCAATCAGTGATGGCAACTTCAACTGGGGTGAAAGGACTGTTCTTAACGGCATCAATACGGCCTTTCCTCGACATGAGAATGGGTCACTTGTCATGGTGATTGGTCCTGTTGGATCAGGAAAATCTAGCTTTCTCAAAGCTATCCTGGGTGAAACAACCTCTTCGAAAGGTAGAGTGTCTCTGAGTTCCCCAGAAGTCGCCTTTTGTGAGCAGTCCCCATGGGTTATGAATGCAACGATCCGAGCAAACATTATTGCCGAGTCAAAGGGCTTTGACAGCGCTTGGTTTGACACTGTCGTGAATGCCTGCGATCTTTCGATCGATCTTGGCAGGTTCCCAGAAGGAGATCTCACCATGGTTGGAGACAAGGGAGTCAAGCTCAGTGGAGGCCAGAAGCAGCGCTTGGTAAGTTGACACTGATCTAATCACAGACGCTGGTTGACATATGATAGGCAATCGCTCGAGCGGTTTATTCGAGGAAGCCTGTGGCCATGTTTGACGATGTCTTCAGTGGACTAGATAAGGTGACAGAACAGGCCGTCTTCAGCCGCGTCTTTGGAAAAGATGGACTGCTTCGAAAGAATGGAACTACTGTTATCCTGGCAACCCATGCTGGTGAGTTTCTAGGAGCAGAACTGATCACCAAAATACTGATTGCATCTAGTCCATCGATTGCCAGAGTCAGATTATGTCATTGCCCTAGACAAAGGGGGCAGACTGATCGAGCAAGGGACCTTCTCTGACCTACGATCCGGAGGGGGCTATGTGGAGAGTCTCGACATCTCAAGTCACTTTGATGAAAGCGACGATGATCCTTCATCATCCAGCGACAGTACTTCCGAGCCCAAGAGTTCCGAGAGCCAGCCTCAACAGCAAAAGGACGAAGCTGAACCCCCGAGCGACAGGAGCGTCTTTATGTATTACTTCAAGGCCATTCGAGTGCACAACAACGTCATGCAGGTCTTTCTGATTGTCACCGCCTGTGTCATTTCTTCCTTTAGATGTAAGAGTCTTCTAGTATGTAGGAGTCTGGTTCTCTTGCTAATGGCGGTGTCTCAGATGTCTGGATCACCTGGTGGGGTGATGGAAAAGGCCGTGATAGTTCAGATGTGGGATATTGGCTGAGCATCTATGGTGTCTTGTCTCTTCTCGAAGGATTACTCATCACTATGGCCATTGCGTAAGTTCTGGAGGTCTAAAAGAGGATCAATCTGCTGATACTATTCCCAGGCTGTTTCTTCTCGTTGTTGGACCGACGAGCGGGAAGACGCTTCACCGTCGACTCTTGGATGCTGCGATGAAGTAGGTATTTCCTCAAACCTGATTAGCTTGTGCTAACTTTGTTTTAGTGCGCCGATGTCGTTTCTGAATAACAGCGAAGCTGGGTCATTGATCAACAGGTATAAGCTCCGCCCATACAAACTCGGGACATACTGACGACTTGTAGATTCAGTCAAGACCTGCGACTCGTTGACACAGTCTTGCCACTTTCTCTATCCATCTTCCTTTTTGGTAAGAGAATTACCAATTGAGTAGAAAGCAGCTAACACTTTGTAGAGGTTGCCGCATGCTTCGGAGCTGCCGGCCTTGCCATCGCCGCCGTTGGCTGGTTCGCAGTCTCCATACCCTTTGTTATTGGCGTCCTCGTCTTGATTCAGCGCTTCTATGTTCGAACCTCGAAGCAGCTCAGACTCTTGGAGTATAACCACATCTACCCACAGTTGCTATAAGTACTCACATGTTTCTAGGATTGAACACAAGGCTCCTTTGTTCTCGCACTTTCTCGAGTCCATCAATGGTCTCGCTACTATCCGAGCATTTGGCTGGATTCAACCGTATACTGACAAAGTCCTCCTTCGACTTGATGATGCCCAGAAGCCTTCTTATCTCCTTAATTGCATCCAGCGATGGTTGACACTTGTTTTGGACATGGTTGTTGCTTTCTTGACTGTCATTCTTGTCGTCTTTGCTGTGACTCTGCGGGAAAAGATCAACCCTTCCCTTTTGGGTATTGCACTTGTCAACATGATGCGTCTTGGAGCCAACATGAAGGGCATTATCCTTTATTGGTCGATATTGGAGACTTCGTTGGGAGCCATTACACGCATTCGTGCCTTTTCTTCGGATGCACCCAATGAGCAGAAGCCAGGAGAGGATAAGCAACCAGGAGAAGAGTGGCCAAGCACAGGGAAGTTGGAGGTCAAGGATCTGGATGTCCAATACGAGTAAGTTGCAAGAGGTTACAGCGTGGTGCTATTACTGACTGGATAGACAAACCGCTGAGCCTGTCCTTCGAGGGCTTACATTCAGTGTCAACCACGGAGAAAAGCTTGGATTGTGTGGCCGAAGCGGCAGCGGGAAGAGCTCATTCGTACAGGCGCTTCTCAGAATGACTGAGATCGTGAACGGCCAAATCACTTTGGACGGCGAGGACATCTCTGTCATTCCCAGATCTTTGATCCGCCAACGACTCAGCACCCTGACCCAAGACCCATTCCTCTTCAGCGACACCATCAGATTCAACGCCGATCCTCTAAGCAAGTACTCTGATGAAGAAGTCAAGAATGCGCTAGAACGGGTTGGCATATGGTCTGTTATTCAAGCCAAGGTTGGCAAAGACAAAGAGCCCCTTGACGAAAAGATGGATGAAAACTTTCTCTCCCACGGACAGCGACAACTCTTCTGTCTTGCTCGTGCTTTGTTAAAGAAGAGTTCTCTACTCATTCTAGACGAACCTACCAGCAGGCAAGTTCCATCTCAGCCCACAGTCGAGTCTCTGTTTCACTAACAGGTTTTCCAGCGTTGATACACAGACGGACGCCAGGATTCAAGAGGTCATCAGATCAGAGTTTTCAGACTGTACCATCATCATGATCGCCCATCGCCTTGATACACTGCTCGACTTTGACAAGGTTGCGGTGCTGGACAGGGGTGCTCTCGTTGAGTTTGGCGCTCCGACCGAGTTGTTGGCGGATGAAGCTGGTGCTTTTACGAGGCTGTATCGTGCTGACAAGAGCAAGGCCAGAGCTTGAAGGCAGCCTGTATTTCATTAAGTATCTATGGCCATAGCGTGATTAGTCGAATACAATTACTTCTTGGTCTGATATTCTATCACTGTGTGGCAAGTGAGTCGCTGAAATGGTTTGCGGCTTACCCTGAAGCTGTGTGCGGTTTCTTCAGATCGCAGATTCGGTCTCATTACGCATTGATAAAGGCTCTGGCTTAATTTTACTGATCTCGCAGGGTTTTTTTTTTTTTTGCATAAGTCTCCTTCCACTACAGTGTTCTTTTCATGTGCTGGAACCTTTGGAGATGAAAGGTATACTTTATTCACTATTGTCTACCTACTCTAATCTCCAGACTCAGGTCATGTAACTAGTCCATCACCTGCTACTCTTGAGAATATTAAAAAGATTAAATTGATACAATTAGTGGAGCTAAATCACAGCGCCGAATCGAGTATAAAGACCCCTCGTTCCTGTAGTGTAGACCCAGTATAAATCGGCTTTTCAACGACATCTCCAGTGTCTTAATTAACACAACTACACCAACAACTTATAGAGAGATTATCAAATACTGACACTGGGAAAATGTGCCAAGGATTCATATACTTTGACATATGCCCCGCCTGCAACCAACGGCACGAGATAACAATGACCTATTACATGTGCTCGGAGGCAGGGAACACCGAGGCGAGGACTTACGGAGCATGCAAAGGAGGCATGAAATGGGAGAACCGGATGATGGCTCAGCTTATTGATTGGCCGCATGGGAGGTACTGCACCAACTACTATTGTCGTCAACGTCTGGCGAGGCTGTATGCTGACAGGTACCGCCGTCGACGACAAGTGTTTGGTGGTGGTGGTGGTGGTAGTGGCAGCTCACAGGCATGATCAGGAATGAGTGAGTCATACTGGATAAAGGGACTTTGTGAGAAGACTTAATTTCACAGAGATATCAAGTGTACTGTAGATCTTCCACATTGGTACCGGGCCGTCATGGGAACAAACTCTCGCGTGGTCCTACTGTTAAATTGTAATGCTTTAGGAATCCGGGCCTTTTGAGTTGTACTCCCCTTACCCATCCAAGACTGCTATCTTGAGATGTGGCCTCAAGGAGAGCATGTTGAAGACTTATCATGACCCAAAACTGCTGGTTTGGTTATGCTGGTTCTCTTTCAGAGTCAACCAGTGTTCTTGAACAAGATAACAATACCACTATTGTTCTTAGACCTTTGTTTACTCACGAAAATAATGCTGTAGATTCGTTTAGCAGTACTGAATATGGGAGATCCTCTCGGCGAAAACAAAGAGAAGCTCTGAATAGCGCCTCTTCGTTTGTAGAGAAAACGGCCTGTTTAGGCGTCGATTCATGCATACAAACGAGTAGGTAAAGAACAAGTAAAGCCGTAAAATGAACAATAGCAGTGATCCCGGAACGCCTCTCCATCATCGGTCAGTATATAAACTGCCCCGCCTCTGTCCCTGTTCACATCTCGTCATCCAACACCGACCAGAAGACCACCACCCACTCACATCTTTCCCTTCAGTTACAACCGAGAACACCACCAACTACAGATTGTCAGTCGAAAGAAACAAGACAAGATGTGTGAAGTAAAGGGATGGTACAAGGTCTGCCCCAGGTGTATGGATTTCGCTGTGGGGATGAGGGAGGTCACCTACTATTGCTCTTACGCTGAGAAGCATGATATCGAGCCAGTGCATTGCCCGCGCAAGTACAACTATCCCTGGGCGAGCTTTATAAAGCCAGAACCTGTCTGCGGCAAGTGTCTCGAGAAGGAGAAGGAAGAGAAGGAGAGCGAAGCTGCCAGCAACAAGTAAGACGAGGAAGCCGTCTGAAAGGTCCCCAGAGGGATCACAGACGAACTCTTCATGTCTATCAGGTTGAAGAGCACGCCTGACTTGCGTTTCTGACCTTTTCTTTTGCATCACCAACCACCGCTCTATCACGGTTTCACACATGCTACCTTGGAACTGAGCAACTGATTTGTGAGCCATCATTGGTGAGTCAAACTCTGCATCTGCTTTTGTTTAATATAGCGCCGTTTGTTATTTAATTGACCTTGTTCATTGTTGCAACTTTGTCCAGCTGACCATTCAAGGCCCGTTTGCTGTTGGTGAATGTCCGTTGTCATCCCTTTGTTCTCTGAACAAATGCTTTCATTCATATTTGCTCCTAACTACAAATACTTCTCATATGTCAGTTCAAACTCGTTCCATTCTGTTCATCTCAGAACACTTACTATATCTTCAAGCCCGTTTCTGGACTCTCAACTTTTGTTATCACCATTACCACGGAACTCGACAGAAGCAACCCAGCAACAATGTGCCAGACACTAGTCCAATACCGTACCTGCGCCCACTGCGACGTGCAATTTCGCCTCTAGGAGACGGCAAAGTTCCTTCCGGACTGCGATGGCTGCGGCACCTACGGACGAGGCGCCTGCAACGACGGTGTGACGCTGGCCCTGCAGCCTCATGCGGACGAGCATAAGCGTACTTTTGTCTGCGAGTCTTGCGAGGCGCAAAAGGTTCGTCTCAAGGTGGCTCAGTGGCTGTCTTGGGCTCAATTCTGGGAGAAGTAGATGGTCTTGTTGGAAGAAGCTTTCCAAAGGTGAGTACCCAACAACCAATTGTCTTGATGATAGCCAAGGCTGACATTTGGAAAGAGACACGATATACTAGAAACAATTCGTCCGTGATAACTATGGGGGCGGCTGGCTGGGGAGATAGAGATTGAACCCCTGGATCGATGGCAACTTTACAGACCTTCTTTATATTCTGCCGTACGAGCGAGGTCGGGGGAATGAATGCATAGTGCAGTACACAATTCAATCAAAACTTTACTTTCTCAATTCTGTATTGTGCGTCTCATTAAATCCCTTTGGGAAGCTTATGACTGTAGTGTGTGACCTGACTTCTACCAAAAGTGTACTGGTAGAAACCGTCGTTTTTTGTGATATTAGGTATGGAGAGAAAAGTGCACCGGATAGACTGGTCCTCTAATAGTCCCAGTGTTCGAGTTCCATAACTGATCTTGCATCATATGGGCTCCCGTTTCGCCTCTTGCCAGATGAATGTCTACGCCGTGGACATTGGGGGCTGCTAAATCCAAAGCATGACACCAGACCATGCCCTTTATCTCAGGGAGCAGCCTTGAGAGCTGTGGGTATATATAGGACTCTTCTTTGGGGGAGATTCTGCTCTTGTTGCGCTTCTGTATAGATATGTCGGAGACACCAACCATCGGCTCCTCTAACCTTCTTTCTTCCGCTATCCATGAATCTTTCTATTTGACCCAAGGCCACGTGTACGGGTAGTAAATTTCCTCGTGGGCGAAATATAGAAGTAGAGTGGTCAAGAAGCGTACAGCCGACTCTAGCAGAGCACGATTGCCCATGTCTAACTCAGCTGGGTCGTTCATACGCAGCAACTCGCCTGCTCTTGTTTCTCTCATGTCGTTTGAATATTGAAAGAGACCCCCAGAACGACACCCTGGGGATTTTCTGGATGTCGGGGTGAGCTTTCACCTAGGCATGGAATCTAAACTTGGATTAGCTGATCGCGTGGGACGGCTGCCTTAGTCTGACCGTTCTTGTGATGGTAACTGGGTTTGCCCGTCACCTAGGAGACAGAGAGAAAACGACCGACGGCCAGGATGCCCCTAGCGTCAGGTTCCATCACGTCAAGCCATTCATCTGTTCAGCGTATAGGACAGTACCCTGGGATCCTCCAGGACGGATGATATCACCAAGATACTTCATGAATCTGGCATCAAACCGCACGCAATATATATAGTATTTAGGAGAAGATATGGCAGTTTGAGTCTGCAAGAGTGTCTTGGGTTTCGTTCGGAATGCGTTGAGTCGAGCCAGGGACTTGCCAATTTCTTGGATCCAGTCTTGATTGTCTGCCGTGACTGATAGCAAGATCTCATTGCCTCGTCATTTTGAGTGGTTGGAGAAGGTATCTAGCAACCCCATCACCGCAGCACAGTTATTATAAGGTCTCCAGTTGCTGCTTTCTTTAACGTATATATCCCGAGCTGTTTCTCGCTCTTCCCCTGTTCGTTCCGTTTGGAGAATGTGTGTGTCCGGGCCATTTTTGTACTGAATGTCTTTCTCGATAAACTCTGGCCTAACTCGCCATCTTATGCGTATATTGCTTCCAGATTGATGTCCTTAAGCATTCGGGTGCAAGCTTTTGTGGGAATCGCGGTCTCACTCTATGAGACTGTTGCCACGTCATGACCCTGATGGCCGGTCTCCTAAACACCCCCCCTCTGCCTCCCCATCCGTCTTCGCCTCTTCGCGTGGAAGGTCGAAGTTCTCATAGAATTCGTTTATGTATGACAGCGGCTCATCGAGTCCGGGCATTCTATATAGGTTCCCTGCTGGGATCTCGTGGTATGCTATATATATCGTCGCAAAGAAACTCCATGCTCGTTTTATTGGGGAGATTGGAAACGCCCCAAGTCAGCAACATGTCTTTTCTCCCTAAGACCATGACTCTTGGAACTCCCAGTTGGAGCTAAGCGGAATGAACCATGGTATGGTGCTCAGGGGTGACTTTGTCGAAGAGCGGCTTCAGGCCTTGTTGGAAAGCTCGCTGTTGGCTAAACTGGGGGAACCATGTTGGTTCGACTCTCCTTATGGAAAGCTCTGACTGCTTTCTATACAAGGCCGATTTTGCTCCATTTGCCGAACATATCAGCGAACCACTTATCCGTGACGAGTAGGTGCTGGTAGGCAAGTGGCTGGATGGCCGGGTGAGTTAACCACGGTCTATATACGGTATTCACTGCTTCGGTGTGACCGCCGAACCAAAGAATTTCGTTGTTCGGCTGATGCCCCTACTGAACAGTGTGCGGTAGTCTGTGTCGTGGCTCAGAGCTATTGCTTGAGAAGATGAAGAATCTACCGAAACAGAACCGGCCCGCCGTAACCAGTCGTTGCCCGGTTTTAGGATCTTTATAAGGCTTTTACAAGATCAGCTCCCCCAAAAGATCGAAATCTGTGCTGGTGGTGTCCCTGGTCTGAGCAGGGACATTGGAAATACATATCAGTCAGAGAAGGTCATGGAAATACTGAGATCTCGTCATGGCCCGCACCACCCAAGAAAACAACATGCTTCCATAGATCTTCGTGGCGAATGGTGTCTGCACGTCGGAGCGTGACCATTTCCCAAGTGGTGGCCGCAGGCTCTCGACCGTTCTAGAGACATAGCTGACAATATATATGAATAGAGAAAAGAAAGTCGGGTTTCCGTTTTCCAAACAATAAACCAGCAACGACTTTCGCGGCTTGGTTCTGTTCCCATGATTCGTGAGAACCAATGTACGTAGTTCTCGGCTCCTCATCAATGAAGAGTTGCTCAGGAGTATATAATGAATTGCTTCTGGAGGCGATCTCCTCCAACGTCTCATCTGCTGCAAGTAAGCCCGAATATCTCTGGCGTAGGTGAAGTTGGTTAGAGCACACGATTCAGCGTACTTAAACTCGCCCTTGAGATTGTGGTAAACGAGTTCAAGGGACAAGTCAAACATGCCACGGGCCATTTGATGTTGCTTGTATAGATGGAAAACCGGGGAAGCCGAGATGGAGCCACCAACTTAGAAAGGTTGCGGCCATATCGCAAACTTCACCTTGATCAAGGTTCGCTCGCAACCGGCTGACATTGAGAGTATCGATAGTATATATATCGCCATCTTGGTAAGCTGGGGGAGCGGCTGCTGTTTGCGTTGTCGAGATGCCAGGATCTCGCCAGCATCCATCGCCTGAACGGCCAGCCTCCAGGGGTTTCGAAACGGGTTGGGTCGAGAAAAGTCTCGCTTTTGATATCTATATATGATCGGCTCGCATATCTCCGAGAAACGAAGGAGGCAACCTGCGTAGTCTTTCGGCGTATCTGCTCTGTGGAAAGAGAGACATTGACATGAGGATGGCCAAGTAGGCACATACCAAACCCAGTGGTCGCGAGGGTGTACCTCGACCTGAGTCTAGACGATCTTCTCAAGGGGTGGTTGGTCTAAAATGCCTTGCTTTATCCAAAGCTTGAAACCTGCATGAACAATGTTGCAGCAGGAGAAGAAACTAACATCTTCGCCGTCATGTTGCTGTAGTCTCCTTTCCAAAGCGACCAAATTAGGCGCAGTAGTTGTGTTCTAAAAGTGATTTATATAAAACGAATGAACCCTGTGTTTGATGTTTGTGTAAGCAACCTGGAGTGAAACGCTTGTCGATGTGCTCGGCCACCGCCAGACAAGGACAGGCTTTGACGTCACCAAATCCCATGAGGTAACTACTTTTGAGCGAATTTCAGTTCTCTGCACTCAGCGTAGTATCTTGGCAATGACCGAATTGAGGCACGAAAGTCCGCCCGGGGATGGTTGATTCGTAGCCATAAGCACTCTTGGCACGGCTTACAGGAAGCTCCCCAGCCGCTCTTAAAGCGGCCAGTGGCCACCAAAGGATTAACACAGGTGGTGCATGGGGTATGTATTTCCGTGTCCATCGTCGAAGTCAAGCCGAGACATAGGCTCTCACGTGCCAGATGGAAGGAGATGAGCGCCATCTTGTCCCCCGCTTGTATATATATCTACCTCACAGTTACAGTTTGAGCAGCCGCAAGCTCTCTGGCGCTATTCATGGAGGTGGCCAGATGGTCCACGTCTTGGTCCTGTTCTTTCTTGGACCGTGTTGTCCTGGACTCAAATTCTGTCTCCACGGGCTTATATAGAAGACGAAGAAGGAGATTCGCAGGTAGCGTTTCTGGTTTGCTTGGCTTCATAGAGTTATAGCCCTGTGTAGCGGGGTGAGCCCTCCATCATCGGCCAAGGTCAGGTCTGCCCCTTCAGAAATGAGACATTCAATAGCATTTATATTGTATGCTGTCTCCATCGCGTATGCCAGGCTGTGTTGCCCGCTTCATCTGGCAAGTTGATATCGACGCCGTGCTCAACGTAGAGAGCGCGAACGAGACGATTCTGGTACACTTCCTCGAATGGCAAAGTCGAGCATCGTCGCCAGGGTGAGGCACAGTCTTCAAGTCCTTATATAGCCGTCTTCAAAATGGGAAGACTTCAAAGTGCTCAGTATTTGAGATCCTCTATGAGCATAGCCAAACATCCTCGTTGATACCCAACCATTGGACACGCGCACGACGACACGCGTTCGGCCCTTTCTGGTAACGACTTTGAGTACAGGCTTCACCCTGTCGTTGGAATATATAAAAGTGAATCCATTTTTCAACAGCGTCTCCAAACTGTGCATCTGTTCCTGGATAGATGTATATAGAATCCAGTTCTTTCTGGGGTAAAAAGCTTGCGGCTAAGTAGTAATGACGAAGAGTTTCTCTGGTCAGGCTAGATCTGCGGTATATACAGATCGAACGCTTGTTGACGACGTACAAGCAAGCTGACAACCATGTGGGCGAGAGCGCCCCAAGCTCTAATGCAACTGAATGTGAGAGCTGGGCTTCCACCCAATTCCTCTCCCCTGACTATACATTTCCCTATGTTGGTCGAGCGTCTGACGGGAAAGCCTGGAGAAGACGTCCCATTGCCAAGGCGATGCGTCGGGTCTTCCACCGGAAGCATTTCTGACGGCTTTTGTCCAGGCCAAGCATGCAGGCTTGGAATAGTTCTTCGTGGCTTAGTAGCCCGCCGATGCATTGGAAATCCATCTTAGTGGGTATATATATAAAGAGACAGCAGATGAGAGAAATTCAGGATGGTATACCCGACTGTGCGAAGGAGAGAGAAGCAGAAGATGATGTTTGTCTCTTTGAGATCCAAGATGCATGATCCTTGATACCCTCAGATGACGAGCAATCTTTAGTATAAGAGTCCCAATAGTCATGCCCGGGGAAATCGACACTCTCGGATACGCGCGGCAACGGGTAGCTCGTGTTGCTGGGTGTGTGTATCCGGCCACACTCACGATATCAAATTCGGGAGTGTATTGCTGAGTTGTCGCTTCAGGGGCTGGGATTGAGAAGTAGCCCTGGTCCGAGGGTTGGTATATATAGAGGATATGAGTTCATTCCGGTCGTGGTCTCCCCAACCGGCCGGTTCACCTCTGTACCCAGTGTGTGCCAGCAAGGTCCTTGATGAGAACCACGAAGTGGGCCACAACAACTTGGATGAGGTAAGATCTTGATGGGAGCAGACACCCAGGATGCTGGTATAGTCTCATAGTCCCTTGTTGTAGTACGTCAGATCGGTGTGCTTGACATCCATGTCCACCAAAAACTTGACGTGTTGGGAACAGAGGCGCAACCATAAGGCAAAAGCTCACCCTGGCAAGACCAGGAACGCCAGGGCAGCGCTAGCCACGCCACGATGGGCTCATTGTGTTCGTATATATACAAAAGTTGGGTTCTGATGCCAGAGCAGAAAAAGAAACTGGCATCGCTGCGTAGTTTCGATGATGGCGACGGAGTGAACCGGGCTCGGTATCAGACAAGTGGGCCTTGGGATTCCCAAATGAATCTGAGGAATGTGTTGATTTATATATGAGTGACCAGGAACAAGACCACTCAGGGCCAGTTCTGTGATCAGATGGCGAAACTGGCGTTGAGCAATGGCGATTGGCATCGCATCGACAAAGGCTCCTGGCGACGACATGTTGGTAATGGATGCTCGACCGATGTGGCCGTGCTCAACATTTGGGTCAAAGAGCCGAATGGTATCTGAGGAGTTCGGCATTTGCGTTCTGAAGATGGGTATATATGTGGTGTGAGGGAATTGATCGAGCATTGGCTGTATACCTTCTGGTGAAGTGACTTTCTCGTCACGTAGCGGCTGGTTGGTAATCCATCCCAAAGGGGCGAGCGAAGCTGAAAGCGTCCTGCCTTTTGGAGATATATATATTGATCTTGATCGTGGGGAGAATCTTGGGCAAAGTGCTGTCAGGTTGAGACCAGGAGGTCAAGGGGTATTTATACCTGTCTTTCCTCTACCCTTCTTCACCGACATCATTCTGCGAGCTCAAGTTTGTCCAGCTTGTAAAGATGTGAGCAACATCAAACTTCACTAGAAACACGCGGCTTACAACATTCAATACTCCAAGTTTGTCCAAAAGTATTTGCTATCAAAACAGCATCATGTATCATATCAATGCTATCCAACCCCCGCCTTCTTGAAAACACCAAAGTAAAACGCCTCCAATGATTACATATACAGATTGCCAAACCAGCTTGTCTGGCTTGTTCACTCCAATAACAGTATACAACTCTATTCGCGTGTTTTCTCCAGCTTACTCTTTCCAACAATGCTTGTCTTCTCTTTGGGTTCTCTTCGCTTTATCGTAACATGTATGAGAGATCTGGAAGGTCTCGGAGGATATTGGCGACAATCTCGTCATCTTTGGATGTATCCTCTGGCTCTTGTCGTGGAGGAACAGGAAGCGACATCGGTCGAGGCTTCTTTGACAAAGTCTGTTTTTTTGCAGTCTCCAATGGCTTCGACACAGGTTCAAGCTCCTGGCTTGCAGTCATACTCTCTTTCAGCGGTGAGCTCTCCCTCATTGGCGATGATGGTTTGTTCCCATTACCAAAGAAGTCCATGTCCCAAGAAGCCCAGCCATTCAGCCTGTTTGTGTTTTCAATTGGCGACCTTGCCTTGTTCTGCATCAGATTTGCGGAAGCCATGACGTCCAGTGACGACCGGGGCAGGGGACTCAGGTCGACCGTGGTTGACCTAGAGTGGCTAATCAAACCCTGTATCGGCGAAGGAGTTAAATCAACTGTGGTCGACCTTGAGTGGCTAGGCATCAAGCCTTGGCCCGGGGAGGCGCTCCAGTCGACGGTGGTATGTCGAGAGTGTGAGGGTATGAACCCCTGGGAGACTGGTACGTCAAAAGAAGCACGGTCGTTGTTTGTTGCTTCTTCCTTAGGAGCACTCTCAAAGATATCATCCGGAGGAGCTGTAGCCGTGATTGAAGGTTTAGAAACATGCCCCTTGTTTGTGTTGTCCTCCGTCTTGGCACCCACAATCGCGTCCAGAGATGGAAAGGTTCCGTTCCCTTCCCCGGAAGGTGAGGAAACCATGTCGCCCCAATCATCGTCATCTTCTTCTTCATCTCCCCAACCTGCATTCTCGGGCGGTTGTGCTAGTGGTGATGTTGGATATGTAATTGGTTGAGAGATAGAGATTGGCCGGGTTGTAGCTTGCAGGGGCGTAGGTATAATAGGAGAAGGCGGCTGAGGAATCTGAGGGGAAGTTGGTGATGGTAGAGGTTGAGATATAGATAGGGGGCGGGTAGTAGGCTTAATAGGTATAGGTTTAATAGGAGAAGGAGGTCGAGCAATAGCTGTTGGTGATCTTGCGGGAGGCGGAGGAGGCTTCGCTGTAACCGGTGACGTCTTGGCGACTTCCACAGGAGACGACTCTACAGTCGAGCTGGGCTCAGTGATAGAACGCTCCGAAGCTGGAGGTGGTATAGCAATAGTCGACGAAGGAGCAGGGCTGCTCCCCCATCCAAACGCCGCAACCGTCGGTGATGCTACCGTTCCTTTCGAGTTGACCGACGCGTGTCTTGAATGGCTCTTGCGCGCTAACAACTCTGAGATATCAACTGACGGCGCAGAAGAATCCCAATTGAAGATCCTTCCACCTGCAGCAGCACCTCTTCGACCAAGAACGACACGGCCCGCGATAGAGTCCTCCTCCATCCACCGTCTGACAATACGGATGGCCTGCTCACGCACCTGTGAGTTGCTCCAGCCAATGCGCACATAGTTTTCGTCGTCTCCCATGTTATGCTTTCGGATTGAGCCGAATCTAGAGATCTGGTACCAAGCCTTGCGCTCAGATATCGAGGCAAACGTGTCATCGATGATGACATCTGGTACTGGCTCGGGGGTTGGAAAGGATGCTTCAACTGAGGGGAAGAGGTCGTCCAACTTCGACATATCGATTGAGAACGGTATCGATGGTTGTTTTGGTCGTGGTTGTAATATCTCTTTGGGCTCATCGTGAGTTGTCGTCTCAACCACAGGAAACTTTTCCTCGACCACCTTTGTTTCTGGTACTTCCGGCACTTCCTCATGGATGGGCGATTCAAAATCCGACCAAGAGTCAGATTCAGCTTGAGCCTCATCTTCCTCGGTCTTCTCTGCCACGGTCTTTTCCTCCTCTGTTGTTTCTTCCATGACATCCGGTGATACTTCGCGGTCTTTCGTTTCCACCTTTGTTTCTGGCTCTGGCGCTGGCTCCGGCGTTGGCTCCAATTCCGGTTCCGGCTCTAATCGTTCCACGGCCTCAGGTTCAGGCGTCGCTTCTTGCACCGGCGACCGGGTGCTCGACGTCTTTCGCATGGTCGGATCGATAGGCGATACGCTGTGGCTTCGCTTGGCTATATCGTCGTACATCTCCACCAGCTCCAAAACCTTATTCGAGGGCTGGCGCAAAGCAGGTGGTCGCGTGCCACGTCGCAGAGCTGGTCGAGGAGCTCCATCCGGAGAGCCGGGTCGGCCATCATCACTCGGCATCGGACTCAGACTCCTCATAGACGGAGCCCGGTCAGGTTGTCGCCAGATATCCGCCGTGCTCTCCTTCAACTCGGTCAGGGGAGGCGGCGTCCTCGACGCGACCCTGGCTTCGATCGGTCGCAATCCTTCACCAAGACTTATTGCTGAATCTCCGCTCCTCTCCTCCTTCCGCACCCGCGCCGTTTCTAGTGTTGCCAGGTGTCCCCATGAATCCGGTCCCGGCGACGGAAGTCTCGAGCTGGCAGGACTACCCCCTATCGGCCGCAAACCAGGACTCCTCCCCCATCGGGGACTGCTGTCCTTACCAGGCTCGGCCCAGCCGCCCCAGGCATCATCATCGTCCATCCATGGCGTATGAGCAGGGGAGGGTCGCTGGCTATGGTCTGGGGTGAAATGTGCGTGCGGCGGCGGCGCGGGGAGATCTATCTTCGGGGGCGAGTCGTTTGTCCAAGGGGAACCCCATGGATCCTCCATGCTGGGCGAGAGTACATGTCGCGCGGCCAGCGGCAGGAGTGTGTATCGAGAAGAGAAGAAACGTCAGAGGCAGAGGTTATTGTGTTCGATTTATCATTGCGCAAAGGTTCGGGAGAACGGGGTTTGAAATCGGCCAAGTGTTTCGAAGGTGTTGGGAGGCGCAACACGTCGAGTCGACTTGCGTAATCGCTTAGTTGATGGTAGGCAACAGAATTTTGTACGGTTAGACGCCACAAGTGAATAGTGGCTTGGATGGATGCTCAAGGTTGATGCAGAACCAAGCGAGCGATCAACGACGGGACGTTGTTGTTTTGGCTTCCAAGGAATGGAAATGGAACATGTTCCAGTTTCCGGGGCCTTCGCGGGTTCCGAATCTTCAGGGGCGGCGCGTTCCCCAGGTCTCTAGCTTTCCAAATTTGGCCCCGCCTCCATGCCCGTGCATCCCGGCCGCCAACACCAAAGCTCCAATGACATGGCTCAATGACATGACCCCTTGTTGAATCAATCGACTCTTGCGATTCATCAGGGGGCAATTGAACTTTTGGATATCGTTGATTTGTAGTATTTCCATCTGCTTTCTAACACAAGGGTATTTATTTGTTTGCTTGATGTCTATCGCATACAATGCCAGATACCATGACATCATCCTTCCCTCAAATCAACAAGTCCATGAACCAGCCGTTTCCCCAGTAATTCCATGAAGCAGTTCCGTACAACCCCGACACTCCGTCGCTAATATTCAGTCAAAATTTTCATGTCGTTTCCATCCATTCTCCCAGATAAGGTTGATTCACGAGACAATCTCGTGACCGTGCTTCAGTGCCCACTCCTTAGAGCGACCCTTGCCGGTCTTCTCTGCCACGAGTTCGATCGTGTTCTTCACCTCTATTCGAGATACGTGCTCTCGGAAAAGATGAAACACAAAGTCAATGATTCCAACCTTGGATAACGCCTTGTTGTCAAGAATCGCCCGCTTCACGTCATCCATGAGCTCTGACTTGACGAGCTTAGGCGCATCACCACTTGCGCTGCTTCCACCAGTAATGGCTGCAAATGCATTGGTAGGTGTTGGTGGAGGAGGCATCTTGGTACCGCTCTCAGCAGCCTTGGTGGCTTTGGTTGTCTTGACCTTGTTCTCAGGTTCCCAGTATTCCGTAGAGAATGGATCAATGCCCCATGACTGCGAAAGTCCATCTAGACTCAGTTAGTACCTGGTCTTGATTCAGTCCAGGCATGTACTTACCGTGCATAAACTCCATTTTGTGCTCATAGACAACCTGATTCGCCACAACGCCCCCGTTTTCAAAGCATATACCAGTGCTCTCTGGTTCCAATGTGTTGGCAAAAAGCCGTCGAGATAGACCAGCATCTTCAGAGTCGTCGAGGAATCCTTCCATGTCATCCTCGTCATCGAGCTCCTCCTCGTCATCGTCAACGTCCAGATCTTCTCCTTCCTCCTCCTGCCATTCGGCTTCCGAGTCATAATCGTAGTCCAGAGGCAGTCCTCTTCTTGTTGGCTTGCGAGCCAGTTGGCTGATGTTGTCCTTGCCAAGAGCGAACGTCTTCAAAGTAACAGTTCCATAGTAAGGGGGCCGAACATCTTGTGAAAAGGCAATCACCTTCATAGGCACCTTGGACAGCTTCTCGCGGGCTTCTCGCATGATCTTATCGGCGTTGTCTGCTCCAGAATTGTCCGACTTCTCTGTCTCCTTGTAGACGTGTTCCATAATGTGACTAACAGGGTGATGGAGCTTGCCTCGCTTTCGGGGTTTGCCGGGCAAGGCAAACAGATGCACAGGGTCGAATGAAGCATCCTTTTGAAGCTCTTCAGCACGCTGACCACCAATGCATTCGTCCACGATCTTTGACTTGACTTGGCGTGTTTCGTCGTCCATCCGGGGTCCAACGGGGGCCACTGTTGTGCTGTCCTTGATGAAGAATGGCTTGAACAACTTCTCGTACTCTGACTTTGACACCTGACTGACACCTTTGACGGGGCTTCCGTCTCGAAATGTGCCGTTCTTGGCGTTGGCACTGTCATCAGCCTTCTTAGGGGTGTTGGAAACCTTGAAGAAAGAGCCGAGTGTTCGTTGCTGGCGAGCCTTCTTCTCTGCCTCCTCCTCCTTTCGCTTCTTTTCCTCGTCCTTTTTCTTTCTCTCCTCGTCCCTCTTCTTCTTCTCCTCATCCTTCACCTTCTTTTCTTCCTCCTTCTCGCGTTTCTTCTCCTCACGTTCTTTAGCTTTGGCTGCCTTTTCCGCTTCAGCTTTGGCTTTCTCGACAGCTCGAATGGCTGCCTTCTCTTCACGCTCTTCCTTTTGCTTTGCAAGCTCCTTTTCACGAGCCTCCTTTTCGGCAGGAGTCAACTTCTTTCGCTTCGGTGGGTTCACTGGCGACTTCGATGCGGATCCAATTACCATTGGCTTTAGTAAGGTTTGGCCTTTGACCGGTGTCTGGGGTGACGGAGATTTTCGGGTGGGAGTGCTACTGCCGGCCTCGGTAAGATCTGGTGTCGCCTGTGAGGTGGATTGGGTGCCCGTTACAGCGATGGAGGGTAGACCTGTATCAAGTCAATATCTGTATAATCGTCAAAGTATCATGATACGCACTGCATTCGCCCTCGGGCTGGCTGCAAGTCTGCATCTTGGTATCTTCAGAGTCCTCCACCTTGACGGTCTCCCCTGCGAACTCATCATGGCTTCTCTTGCGGCCCGTAGCCTCGGTTTCCTGAATATTCAGAGACATCTCCAAGAGAGCCATTTCGAATCGACGGGAGCTATGCAGCTCAGTGGTGGTGCGGGTGTGTCAGATGTCGTATCGGTGAGGAGTGGTGCGGAGCGTGACGGATACGGTCGCTAGGAGGCAGGTGCTGGAAATCGCCCAAGGCCGAAAATCATGAAACAAGGTTTTGATGTTGATTTGTCATGAAGAAGACGAAAATGATCATTTGATTCGATCAAGGCTCTCGATGCGGCTAGGAATGGTGTGGTGTTGAGGAATTGAAAGAATCTCGCCGAGTGTGCACGAGATCCCCCCAAGTTTGTTTGTGGCATGAAGCATCCAGGTTGCGAAGGGGAGCCTGGACCCCAAAGAGGGTCCCAAAGCTTAAGGAAGACGCGCCGACGCGTTAATTTGGCGCCGCCACATCGTGCACATTTACGCGTTAACGCGCAGAGTGGAAAGTGCAAAAGTGGCTGACGGGTAATCTACGGCGATGTGACCTTCAGGGGCCGTGGCTGTGCTGCCGTGGCTGCCTCCGCGCTTGCGGCTAGTGCGCTTGGCATTTTGGCATGTCAGAATCTTTCAAATTGCCATGACGACAAAGATGGAGATCGGGGTGACGTCGAATTTCGCTGATCACCTCATGGAGGGAGCCGGACAGACGCCCGAAGCCAGTGATTGGGCGCTTATTGCCGCTTCAGCTGACAGTAGGGAATAAGGATCGGACCAGACAGTAACGTCACCTCTGCACTGACATGCAAAGCAGTTCCTTCAAAGGATGATACGAGAAGGTCACTGACGATCAATGCATTAATGACCCGCATGCAACTCGAGTCCCCTGAGCCTCACGGGGGTTATGCTTGAGCCATTGTTTTCTTTGTTACCTCCAAAGTCTCCAACGAGACTCAGGAGTCGAGTTTTCATTAAGCATACTTTTCTGTGTCTTGAGTCCTGGCTAGAGAGGTATCTTTCAAACATTAAAAAGCCCATCAACGACAGTGGAGGCCCCGCTCCGAATGCACACACTTCGTTCCATCAGAAAGGTGGAAACATGATATAGCGAGAGATGTGAAAAAGAAGATTCGTTGGGGGGTATCTGAACCCTTGGAAACGACAGTGGGTTGTGAGAAACCAAACGATAGGTAGATAGTACAAAGCAATGCTAGAACGCCGACTGATGCAAGTCCACCCTTCGATCCGAAGTGTGATGGTGTGTGTTAACGAATGAACAACATAAGAAACCCCATTTGCCCAGCCTGTCGTGACATGATACATGAACTGTCATGGCCGAATAGTATATATCTCGTCGAATTAGAACGCCCCCTTAATCAGGGTTGGCGATGAAGAGGCGTCCAGATGTAAGTGTTGATGTTCGCTCGTCGACACTTCCACGTCTCCTGAGCTCATCCGCTGATTTCACGCTCTTTTCTCTAGTAAGAGCTGAGTGCATCAGTGAATTGGAAGCCAGTCTCGGGGCATTGCCCAGCTCGCCCACGTTGTCGGCGCGCTCAGCGCTGCTGCCACTCCTCGTGCTGCGAGCCTTGCCGCTGGCACCGTCGTCGACAATATCTTCGGGCATAGTCTCGACCAAGCTGCCAGTGCGCTCGGGGGTATCACCGGGACTCCATCGCCGGCCGTGCTGGCTGCCCATTCCTCCAGATGATCGATATGCGAGGTTCCTACGGCTGCTCGTTGTGCTGCTCCGTCCGCTGCTACCCGTCCTACGGTGGTGCGGGCGGGTCGTGCTGGGTGTGTTCTCGTCGTCACTACTCTCAGCCTCCACCTCGGTGGCGCTCAGCCGCATGGGAACTCCCCCGACGCCGACGTGGTTCTCGCCGGGCGCGTAGCCAACCACAGGTGTCTTTCCGTGGTGTCGAATCTTGGGGATCTTTGCCGCGACCTTGTTGGTAGTGCTAAGGCCTGTGCTGGTTCGTCCGCCGGCACCGCCGGGGCCATAGGAGCTGCTGCCGCGGGCTCCACCGACGACCTCGAGGGCCGCACGCATCTTTGCCGCACGCTGCTGGGCGAGCATTCTGGGGTCCTCGTACTGGGCGCGATCGCACCAGACGGTTCCCTTTTGTTTCCGCAGAAGCGCGACATAGCTGGAGGGCTGGGGGCTGGCTCCACCGGAGCGGCTCGAGGTTGAGCGACGGAGCTCGCTCTGTGACGAGTTGCGGTAAGCTGCAGGAGGTGGGATGCTGCCGATGCTGCTAAACGTATTCACCGACGGTGAGCGGCGGTTCTGCATTGGATTGGGGCCCGGGTGGGCGAGGTGTTGTGTCTGGAACTGCATGGGGAAGGTGTTTGATGAGGTGGTTCGTGATCGTGAATGTCCATAGGCGACGGTTTGGTCCATTGGGCCTCGCATGGCCTGGGGTTCCAACATGGCCTCGCGGCGACGTCGAGGGGGACGTCGAGTTTTAAGGTGCTCGCGGGTCGCGGGTCGTGGCGTGTTGCTCGACTGTAGGGAGGGTTGGCCCCGTCGGGCGCGGCGCGGAGCGGCAGTAGTGTCGAGAGTCCGAAGCCGAAGCGCAGTGCCAGAGAGAAGCGAGAGAAGGAGAGGGAGCCGAAAAGTGAGACTGTGCTTGGTAGCGCGCCAGAAGAAGCGGGGCGCAAGTTGGAGCCAGAGACAAGAGGGCGGTCGAGGTGGTGAACGTCCGGGTATAACTGACGAGGGTGAGAGGTCGTGAACAAGGCGGGATAGACGTTTTGAGATGATGCAGTTGGTGTAGGTAGGTAGATATGCAGAGGAGAGGTCGAGGATGGGAGGAAGAGGTCAGAACTCGATGGTGGGCAGAGGCGTCAACAAGAAGGATTTCAGTCACTGATGAGAGTGGGAGAGAGCCGCCTAGTCGGGCAGTCCAACGTTGCATGGATTCATAGGTAGCCCGGCCAGGTTGGGGGGTGGGTGGAGGGCAGGTGGGTTAGTGGGTTCAGCGAGCTAGTGGGTGGTCGCCTGCAGGTGGATCGCCTACCGCTAGCGGACAGTCTGCCAGGCCTTGCGCTTGTCCAGGCTGGCTTCAGCACCTCCGTCCATGGCATCAATGGATGGAAATGGCTCCAACTCCAGTTGTCGGCTATCCAGAGCTGGCAGCCAGAGCCGCTACCTATGATGTAGACCATGGATCGTTGAGTCTTGGCCCTGGCTTAGCCCTCCGACAAAAGGTTCGGGGCTGCTTAAAATTCTAGCACCTCTCCACGGAAACGTACCTGTGTACCTATCGAGACAACACATCTACTTTCTAACAAGAGGAAATTCCTTGCGAGAGAACGTGTTCGGTGAGAATGTATGGCTTGGAGCAAGGGAGCGGAGCGGCGTGTAAGAATGTGGAACCTGGGGCGCTCTCTGGATTGCCTCACTCTTGTTACATCCGGTCAATGCAAAGAATGGCCTTGCCTTGCTCGACTGGGGCGCTCGCTCATGGCTTCTGGGATTTCCCCTCGTGCTCTCCCTCGTTGCTTGGGTCATTGCTTTGTCTGAGGTGCTCGCTCGCTGGCACCTCCAGCTTCGCTTCGGCTAAGGATGCTGGTCCATGCTCTCGTCCATTAACCTCTCACAGCATCGCGGCCTCTTCCTCCATGCGACGACCCCAAAAGCCAAGTCAGCCCTGGCGGCCCAGCTGAAGCCGCACCACCGAAGAAGAGCCTGGTCTGGCTGCTGGCGCGGGGCCCAATCAGGCGTGTCTGTCGTTCGTGATGTCATGCTGGCCCAGCACCAGAGCAGATGGAGCCGAACAGGTCGGGTGTGTTAGCTTGAGTGGGCAGTCCGGCCCTAACTCTCTCCTCCCGTAGGGCCGTAGCCGCTTCTGTTCGGAAGGTTTTCTGCCCTTTGCCATTTTGGCTGGTCCGGTTCTAGCCTGGCATTGGTAGATAAGCGACCAACAGATGGATGAGACAGAAGAGCCGGTGGGTGATGACATTTACGATTGGAGTTTTGCTTGAGTCTTCTGAAACTCTCTTGTATCCCCTCAGACAGAGAGCTTTTACTTTCCATGTCACATTTCACCTCTTCACCATGATCGGCCAGGTCGGAAGTGTGACTGGTCCCAGAGTCGCACTCTTCGCCAAACACAGTCGAGTCGATCCCCGGTCGCCCCAGCACCCCTGGAACCGCCTCTTGTCCATCCATCCCATCCCTGCAATCTGTAGCGCGCTGACCATGCGTCAGAAGCGACCAGCACCTGTCGGGACGGGTTCGCGGCGTGCTGACGAGACCGATAGTCAGGGTGATGTGAGCGCCTCGGGGACCATGGACCTCCAGGAGCCGCGCCAAGCACAGCCCTTTTTTCTCTCTGTCTTTTCCCTTTACCAAGCGCTATGGTGCACCCTTAGATCCAGAGATGCGAAGTGGGGTGGGTTTTTTTTTCGTCAAGGATGGGAGAGAACGGTAAAACGGCAATCCAATCCAACAAAGGCAGAGAGGCCAACAGTAAAAACCTAGAGTCGGTCTCGAGCGCTCCTGGCGAATCAACCTTGTTTGTTGTTGTTGCAATTGTTCCGAGTCTCCATAAACATCAACGGCGGGCTGAAGCCTTTCCCCCGAAAGGCACAACGGCAAGCTTGTCTTGAGGAAGCTTGTTGAAGCTTGTTCCAGCTGCAAACCAAACTCCCTTGACTTTCTACGCAGACGCAGGAATCCAATTTCGATCAAAAGAAGAGTTTCGGCATTCTTGTACCGCATATGTTTCCCACCCCAAGAATGCACCCACAAGGGTGACACGAGGGGAGCCGGCGTGATCCCCCTGTGTAATACGGTCCCCGGCACTTCACTTTGTACGACAAAGGTCAGCCACGTCCCCTTGATACATGTAGACAGGCTAGGGATGACCTTTTGCCGGTGAGGTGAGGGCTGCGCCGGTATGGTGATTCATTAAACCACGAGCCCGGGCTCGCCGCCCTGAGATGAAGGGAGGCATCTAGGCACGCCTTTCAAGGCTTCGGTTCAGCCCAAAAGCCAATTACAGTCTCTGTAATCAGCCTTTGACCGTTGACGAAATTACAACTCTCGTCTTCGCATGTGATCCCAAGACGAAGTGTCTTGAATTCAATTCCCATGTGTATCGGTCAAGTTCCTCCAACTAGGTTCACAAGGCCCATCTGACCCTGACCCCTAACAAGTAACTTTCCTTGACTGAGATCCAGTGCAACCTATTCACCGCGCCGTTCCATCAGCAACTGCACTGCAGGCGGGTCACTCAATCGGCCACCTGTCGCTGTCCGGGCCGGGACCGAGATTCAATTTTGTTGGCGTGATGCCATATGCGAGTCGAGAAAAGGTTGTTCTTTCTTGCCCCTCCTCTCCCAGGGATGATGGCCGTCATGATGAGTGGCTTTCACACTAACATTCCCAACTTTACGGAGTCGACGAGACGACTACGGGGAAACAGTCGATATAGCTTCATGGCACGATTAAGATAAGCAACCAAGCTCAGCCCAGCTTACTTACAGAAAGTCAAGTCACTCTCTACAACGTAGTAGCGAATAGGTACGCCTGCAGTAGCAGACCTAACAGCGACCCCCCCTTGCTCGGCCCATGCGTGGAGTTCATGTAGATGCACCTCCATCACCATCGCACCTCGATCAAAATGGGAACGTCTGGTCTCGTCCTAGGCCAGGCCAGGTATTGGAAGGGCCACCCCGCCCTCTTGGTGGCCACATGGTCTAGGTATGGACTGATGTTCTTTTTTTTTTTCCTCTATGAGGCCTGCTCTTTTCTCTTTTCCCCCCACTTGCATATTTTTCTCTTCTCTTCCTTTTTTCGCTCGCAGCCCTGTCCAGCTGAGCTTCTCCAAGCCCAGTCTTGGCTTGGCTTTTTTTTTCAAAATGCGCCTCATGTCGCTTCGCGGGGATTGGACTGTCTGGTGCCGTACCTGCAAGTTGGGGTTGACACGTCTTTGAGCCTTTGCCTTCTTCCCTGTCGGGTTGGCGTCTCTGACCTTTCAGCCCGCCAATTCAGCTCCGTCCAACTCCGGGGATTGGGGAACTCCAGTACTACACTACTATATATGTACCTTCACCGCACCCGGTCAAGGATGAGCCAAGTGACCAGGGTCGAGTTTGTCGGAGTCGGAGCTCCCCAATTGTGGATTGTAAATGTACTCCATAGCTTCATCATGGGGATGGAGTGACCTTGACGTGCCATTCATCAGATCATGCTGCTTCGAGCAATTCACTCACGTAGTCCACCGGTAGATGCATCGGGCAGTAGATCGGTCAATCTCGAGCTTCGGAGCCAAGGAAGTTTTTTAGCAAGTGAGAAAACCCTTGGTCGAAATCTTATAGAAGGCTCTGTTAATCGCCGAGTGGACGGTTCAAAAAACCTGTAAATCAACCCCCAACTTGAGCCCTCCAAGCTCCAAGACTCAAGACTAGCGTCATCTCGCCGTCAACGCACCTGACACGGCAGAGCGTTTCCATTTCCAGGCACGTCTGTTGAGATGGCGCAGAAGCTACCCATGTCATGGAAGGGCCCAGAGCCATGGGAAATGTGACTCTTTTTTTTATTTCCCCTTCCTCTCCTTGGCTCTCCATTCGACTTACAAACGCATTGGCAATCTTGCCCCAGTTTCTCGCCTACTGTCAAATCCCAGTTGCATCCGCCTTGTAAGCGCGCATCTCCACGTGGGGCATGATTCGGCCATCGCCGTAGGCTTGCTGCAAGTTCCAACCTGTCTCTGCTAAAAGCAGAAGTAGAAGCAGAAGCAGAAGCATGGAGACAATGATTGTCGATGCAATGCATGTTCCATCCCAGGTTACATCTATCATCCCGGCCTCGTCCCGAGGACCGGTTTGTTAGCCTTAACATCAGGCTATTCCTCTCTAGAGTCACTGTAGAGATAAGTTCCAAGGAACAAAGACTCAAAAACCCCTCGTCTCATCTCCGACCTACTCAGATCTGTCTGGCTCTTGCCCGGGATGCTTGCCCGGGATGCTTGCCCGGGATGCTTGCCTCCCGAAGTTCTGGAGCGGTCCAAATCTCGAGGGTGCCCCAATGGGTTGGTCAAGCTCACAAAGCCTCGAGCTAACTCAGCCTTAGCAGTCTAGGTACATCACTTTGGCGTAATAGACGGCGAGCAAGACGATAGTCATTGGTCCTTGTGCCCAGCTTTTGTCTATCGCACATGAAAACCACGCACGGCAAGGGGAACAACCACCTTTGCTCTTGTAATGGGTGTAATGTATGTCCATGTGCCTGAACCTGAACGGCTTTTCCTTGCTTTCCCGCTCCCACCTCTTTCTCGGTTGTCTCACCAAGGGCCAGGGTTCCGCAGAGCCTTCCAGCACCTTGGCGAGACGCAGCGTGCCTGCCGATGCTTCCGCTATGGATCCCGTCCCTTGCGAAGAAGAGGAAGCGAAGCAGAAGGAAAAAGAGGGAATAGCATGTCCGAAGAGCTCCGGATCTCCATCTCAAATGCCATGGCCAAAAAAACCCCAGCGTGGAAACTCGCAACGGCTCGCGGGACAATCTCTCCGCTATCATTCGGTGATCTGACCATGATCCCTGCCTCAGCCCACTTACTTTGTTGTTCCATCGCCTAGGTGTTGAACTCGTCCCGTGGTGGGCTCCAACAGGGCTAGCTATCTTGGAGCAGAGTCACATCGGTGAATCTGTCACACCTGAGTGACTGCCACTGACTGGTGGCACAACGTCATGTACCTGCCGGTCTGTGTCTGGACTGCACCTGGGCAATCCGTCCCGCTTTCGGCGGTGTGGAGGAGGGCATACCTCGGTTCTGTATTGACCGG